CATTGGTAGTTATGTCTGTCTGCAACCGTCTGTCTTGTGTACTTTCCATCAACCCTGACACAGATGATCTTCCATGCCATGATCTCCAACCGTTCAACATCGGTTTTCTCTGCTCTGCTTGCTCCACCACAGTGGGCTGGCTGGAACACCATCACTGCTGGTAGACTCTCAGACAATGCACACAGTCCATGGCTTGTGATGGCTGGCTAATTGAGTCAAATGGTTCTAACCGTTCTAGGATGTATGTTAATTGAATAATAATAATGTCATCAGGATAATAGGTTCTTCGGCTTCTCTGAGTGGCTCCGTTGGTGTTGATCTTTCCAACTAGGGACGCTGGACACTACCTGGCCGTCTGGACAAAGCTGCCAGCCGAACTCATTGTGTTTCTTCTGGCTGTTGGTTGCAAATAAGAGTTGGTGGCTTTCAAGCTGGTGGCTTTCAAGCTGGTGGCTTTATGGACTGTTGATTAACTGCATGGTCTCCAAGGAGATATCATCCCCTGCTTTTGGAACTGTCCTGGGTAACGACTGCTTCTAGATTTTACACAGAAGTTAGAGCCAAGGCACAGAATATCTGATCTCGTTGAACACCAAGCTGAGAATGAGAGGGAAACTTAGCGCCTCTCTCAAAGAAAGTAGGCCAAAAGATTCCTACTCCTAGGTTGTGCTTTGTCCCATCAAAATGTGAGCCATAACACAAAGAATCTCTAACTTCTAACTGTAAGTTTGAAAATGGAGGCATACTAAGAGACTCAGAACATTCAGAAATACATATTACGCCACAAAGAAGTGTAAATATATAAGCGGGACTATATACCCACACAGGCGAACTCACTTTTGAATTTGACCTCGTCTCCAAGGGAACGACTTGATCAAGAATAGTTTAAGATGAAGGGGTGGTTGAGACTGTTACGTGACAGTTGTAATTTTCTTTCTGTGAGAGCAGTACCCATACTGAGCGGGTTGTCGTAGCCATTGTGCCTATAGGGCCTTCTCTGCCTAGCACAGGTAAGCTGATGACTAGTGCTGAAAACTTCCCAGCTGCTCACCACGTTTATCCATCACTTGCCTGCCTTGACTTCACACTTTGCTCTCTTTCCATGCCTTCTTCCCTGACTCATCTTGAGGTTCTCTTTTGTGCCCCGTGCTCTCTTTGTGTTTTGATTATCATACACTCTTTCAGGAAGATTTATGAACAGCCAAGAAAATGTACAAACAGAGGTAGGAAGACTTACAAAATCAAAAAGAAGACAGAGAGGAAGATTTACAAAGACAGGCAAGAAAATGAATGAAGACAGGTCGGAAGACACAAAAACAGACAGGAAGACTTACAAAGACAGACAAGAAAATTTACAAAGACAGGCAAGAAGAGACAAGAAAAGAAGAAAGATTACAAAGAAAGACAGAAAGAGTTATTAAGAAAGGCAAGAAAATGTACAATGACAGGTAGGAAGAACAAAGACAGGCAGAAAGATTACAAAGACAGGTGGAAAGACTTACCCAATGCCAATTATAAAATAATTCTATCACAATATAATCTGATAGCTATATTTTGGTAGCTATTCTTTAACTCAACAACAACAACTAACAAACAGTTAACTGGATGAGCAGTTTCACTAGTGTTTACATATTTGTAAAACAAACTCTTTGAAGGGCTGAAACCAAATAAATATGATTATAGTCTGACAAAGGTAAAAATGCATTATTGTTAAAAATAAGTAACCTAACACTTTGAAAAAAGAATCTTGTTACAAATGTATTATTAACAGCTACTTTTCTTCATTTAATGCTTAATTATAGCAGAATAAATACCCCCTTCATGTTGAATATGAGTTGCTATTTCATGGGCAGAGGAACAACTGAGCACATCTTCCCCCTATGTAACATTTTAGAACAATGCAATGAATGATAGAGAAGTACATATATTAATTTTGTGGACTTTGAGAAAGCTTTTGACAGCGTCCATAGAGACAGTCTCTGGAAAATTTTACGACATTATGGAATTCCAGAAAAGATAGTCAACATAATTGCTCTCTTCTATAAAGACTTTTCCTGCAGTATAAAAAATTACAACACATCTTTCCCAGTAAAGACAGGTGTAAGACAGGGATGTGTCATATCATCTCTCCTCTTCAACCTTGTGATTGATTGGATACTAAAAAACAAGACATTGAAAGGCATTCAATGGACTCCATTCACCATGCTTGAGGACCTTGATTTTGCAGATGATATAGCACTGCTATCACATAAACATGAACATATACAAGATAAAAGTAACAGACTACACAGCTCAGCATAAATGGTGGGACTGAGAATAAGTACAAAGAAAACTAAGATCATAACAAACAGTCCAAACCAACAACTAGTGACCATAAGCAACCAATCACTTGAAAATGTAGAACATTTCACATATCTTGGCAGTGTGGTGTCCCTACTGGGAGGGACAGAGGAAGACATACAGTCACATCTGAATAAAGCTAGAGCTTTAGAAGGATGAGGCAAATCTGGAAATCCAACAGTTACTGCCGAGGAACAAAACTCCGACTCTACAAGAGCATCATTTTGCCAGTTCTTCTTTATGGAGCAGAATGCTGGAAAATGACCAAAAAGGATGTACACAAGCTGTCCACCTTCCACCACACATGTATTACGCAGAATTTTCAAAATTTTCTGGCCAGATACAATCTCAAACACTAAACTTACTTCAAGTCACAAACCAAGAAACTCTAGACAGTATGATAACCAAGAGAAGATGGAAATGGCTTGGCCACGTTATGAGAATGAATCCTGATATACCTGCCAAAACAGCTCTTACATGGATACCAGAGGGAAAGAGAAAAAAGGGGCGCTAAAAAAAAACCATGGAGACGAACGATGGAAAGTGACCTGAGTGTGGCATCTTTGACATGGAAAAACGCATTGAAGATTGCACAAGACAGGAAAGCATGGAAAGTCCTCTCTGAAGCCTCATGTGCCACTAGGCATAATGAGAACTGATGTTGAATATGAGTTGCTATTTCATGGTAAATAACAATTTCAACATTTAAACTCAATGTCACTAATATAACATTTTCAATCCACTTTGTTGTATAAAACAATCTCAATTTTTCACAAGTTAAAAAAAAAAACATTCATACATTATCAATGGCAAAATACGTCTTCAGTGTGTCTTAAAAAATCTACACACAACTTTTTAAAATTGCCTGGTAAACTTTCTGGGTATTTAAACTATGTTTTCACACTTCTAAAACCACTTTAATATAATTTCTAATTTAATAAAACTTAACAGAGGTTAGTCTGGCTTCCGCCATTACTTCGATTCAGCTATCCGTTTAAAACAGTCAAATTAAGAAATAATAAAGTGTGTGTACATTACTTACAATTTAAAGAATACATTTAGATTTTTAGGGCACTCTGTAGTTCAATCATGTATGTATCTAAAAGATTCTCATAATACCATCCACAAAGAAGAGAAGAAATAATGACATTTTACAAGATTTTAACATAACGGAAGTCTGGCTAATACACAGCATTTTGTCTCAGATTTTGGTTATATCAAGCGCCATGGCGGGCGGACTGGTAAAAAATATTAGCAGAACGCATTTTACCAGAAAGTAGGGGCAGAGGTTGACCAACACGACAATGGGTACAGGATATAAGTGACTCCTTGCATATGAAAGTACATAAGAGCTGGTGAAAGACTGAGTTTCTTTCAGGCAGACCATGATTAGAGCGACATTCTGCAAAGGACTTGTTACATGAGGATGATGATCATGTGTCTAAATAGTGAGGATACATACAACCAATATAACTGTACAATTTACTGCATGGCTTTTTTTTTTTATTACTCTTAACAGTCATGTTCTGAAGTAAGCTGAACTGACTGGAATATGCATCGGAGGTACTTTGTTATGCAAATAAAAAAGCAGATGTATGGTGAAACAATGGATTATGTAATTTGTGTATTTCAGTTGACAGAATGCACTTTTTTCCATTACATATTAATGTAAATACTGTATAATGCACTCAACAAGATAGAGTGAAATATGACACTATGTAATATAATACTCTTTGTCTTATTTAAATTCACAATGGGAAAATACTGCCGTAATAACTGAGTAGTTAAAGTCAAGTAAGGGACCCTTTCCATCCTGATTTATAAAGAATCCAGTCATCCCTTTGTGGGATGCAATTTTTCGTTATTTGAAGCCCTATGGCTCTTGCCAGGGGCTGCAATATAGCCTGACCATAAATATGGTCCGCTGAACGCGGTTTCTGGGGACCTCTCCACGGTGATCCTCAGCCACATGATGCCACTTTGTGCCATCAAGTGTTTGTCGCTTGTGTGATGTCCTAGTGGGGTAAAAATCTACTACAACTACTACCCTTTCTACACCTTCAGGTGTACTGGACATTAGAGCAAAGCTTATATTTTATAGGCTAATCGACACTGCGTGGGTGATGTGGTCAACTCCATGCCAACCACAATCACTTTCCAGCACCTTTTCTGGTACCTATTTAAGGCAAGGTCAAGCTGAAAGCCAAGGTCATTTCTGAAAAAATCCTGGCTCTGTCGAGATCTGAATCCATGATCTTCCGATCTGCAGGGTCGTGTTTTGCTGCCACACCACTATGGCTGTCTAAATGATTAGTTAGCCCAACAAGAAAAAGTAATACTCCTATGTGTGATTTTAGCTTAGTACATCTAATAAACAGCCTAGTCTCATAAGGGTCCTTATCTCTACATTGTAAAATTGTATGGCTGCACCACCTGTGATATCCAGCAAAATACTGCTAGTGGTCAAACAGTAAATTGGCCATGTAATCTAGGTAGTCAGCCAAACAACAAAAACACATAATCCTTCATATGAAGGGGCGACTTCTGCCTCAAACAGCTAAATAACATGCAAGCTCTGATCTATTATTCTAAAACTGTCATAACTATGTCATATATTCCGTTAGTCACCAGACAGTACAGGTGTCCCCAAATTTATGTACTCAGCCAAACACAAAAAACTCATACTCCCACATCTGACTGGAGAATTCTGGCTTCATACATCTGAATAACCCTGTCTCATGCAGGCGCTGCTCTATGAATTCTAAAACTTTTGTGGCTGCATCATTTGTGATACCTGTCAACAGATTCTGTTGGTGGCCAGACAACACAGGAGTCATTGCCTGCAAGCATGTGATATTTGCAAGCAAATGGGGATTATGTATCAAGAACTTCGGCAGCAGTCTGTTTTCATAGGCTGACTTCAGAAAATGTACAGCATCTGAAATTCGGTCTGTAAGGCTGTGAAGTGTCCAGGCAGATGGTGGACTCTCTTGTAAAAGAAAGCAAACTACAGTATCCAGTATATGTTCATCAATTTCGCCTTTGTTAAGCAGATTATTTTCATCACCTTTAGAAAACAGTGCTTTAAGAATCATCAAACACTCCTTGTGATAACCTCTGACCCCAGATAACATAAATTTCCTTTCAATGTTCTGAACAATAACTGCTTGAAGCTTCTCTGTGTCAATTTCCCACAGAAGATCAGCAAAACCATCATCTCTGATAATTCGACTTAAGAAATCTGCTGATGCAGAATTCGGGTTCCGACTGTTTCTCTGCACATTCCTCTGTGATGGTACCGCATAAAGAGGAGGCAAAATACCAAACTGAGGCACAAATATCTGAAGTGTAGGGATAATTTTTAGAGTGATTTCACCAATACCTAGACCTAGTCCTTGCAAGAGTTTAGTATCAAAACTGATCACCAATGTTTTTTGGGAAGACACTTGAATCTTAAAAGGCAGTCTGTCTGTTTTACTTTTATGCTCTCTAATAAGTCTTACAGCAGCTTTTTTTATCAGCATTTCGACCATTTCATTTACCTGCTGTGGTAATAAATAGAAACCTGACACGCCTTGGATGCATGCTTTACGGCTACACTTTATATTCTGTTTAAAATTTCCACTACATTTCACACCAATTATAACATGACCTGATGGGATCACTTCATGAAATCTCTTGTGCAAAATACTTATTTCTGAACAACTGGAAATACTTATTCCAAGTCGTGCTTGGAATTTATCAACAGGGCCTGCTTGTGTTCCATTCGCCACACTTCCTGTGCCTTCAAAACCAGTGATGGTTAACAAACCTCCAGACTCCAGAAATAGTGCTGTCAGTTCACTTTCAAGCAAAAAAAGTGTGTAATCTACAATAGCTGTTGCTGCACTCCACTGTCTAGGTTTCACAGAACATCTCTGGTGGAGAAACTGAATAAGACTAGAGAGCCCATTGTGCGACTGTGACAATTGTTCACATTTAAAATTATCGCAGTTTGCATCAGGATACACCCAAGACATTTGTCTCCGGAATTTCTGAAAACGAATCCAATACTTTGATGGTGATTCATTAGTTCTTCTCTGACCTGGAGTGCCTGCTGTGTTTGCATTTAGGTGAAGATTACGACGAGGAAGCAAAGGGGAAACTAAAGCAGCAGGAATGTAAGGGGATGATGCTGAACGACTAGTTCCACCATCCCCACTTTCAGAAGGCAAGCAAAGTTCTGTATTCAAATTCTGATCTAACTCTTTCAAAAAATGACTCACTGTGTCCTCAAACAAATTGTCAAGTGACAGTTTATGCTCCATATTTTCAACATTCTGTGTATGAACTTCTTGGATGTTGATAACCAAAGGCAGATCAAACTTGTTTTTATTCAAAGTCTCAAAATGTCTATCTTTTTTTGAATCAGACAGACTTACTTCACTATTGGTGCTCAATGTTTGTTCTACCTCAGATTCTGCTACAGAATGTTGATGATCTTCAAGCACATTTTCTATGACATCTGATTTTGATTTATACACTTTTGACAATAGCCATATTATGGTTAACAGCAATAAAAATGTCAATATGGCACCACTCAATGCTAAATATAGCAACGATATGGTCTGGTTACCATTCACATGTAACAATGACTTGCAATGGTTCTCAAAGTATGCTGATTTGGGCTCAAAATGTATACACGATTGTTGATAAACTGGTTTTGGCTCTGGATTTACAAAAAAATTAACAATATTTTCTATAATTCCATCTTCAGCTTTTTCATTGTAAGAAATTTCTACTACATTTTCTGAACTGCTTTTCTCAACATCTGAAAATGCATCATCTTCACAAGACAGGATGGACAGAAGGACAGATATATTGTAAGAGACACTGGCTGGAAGCACTGAAGTCAACCACTCCATACTGCATCTGCAATAAAAAATATATGTAAAATTGTATGAAATATTTGACCAGTTAATATCATGACATTAACAATTATCCAACATAGAAGCTAGTCAGCCGTTAACAATCTGTAACTAAGCTCTCTCAACAACGTTCATCTAGAGCAGGGCTATTTAACTGGCGGCCCGCGGGCCAAATCTGGTCCGCGGAGGCCTAGCAAGTGGCCCGCGGATCATTACCAGTTGTATTGTATCAATGATCTTTCTATGTTAAGGTTTAGCCATCTGGCCCCTGACAATCCTCATTTATCAAATTTTAGCCCCTAGGTAAACTTAGTTGAATAGCCCTGATCTAGAGTTTCTCTTGGACGTCCATGTTTCCTCAATCCATTTGTTTCCCATTTCAGTATCTGCTTGATGATTATGTGTCTATTTTTCCTCATGATGTGCCAAATATACTGCCATCCTCTTTGTTTTATAAATGATGATACATGTAGTTGTCCAGACATTTCTCCGATTACCTCATCTTTCCTGAAACCATCCCTTTAAATGTTCATAAGTTAATTCAGGCATTTATTTTCGATTGCAATAAACTTTCGTTCCATGTTTTGAGTGGGTCTCCAACTTTCAATGGCATATGTTAAAGTAATACAGCTTTAAAATAAAAAAAATAAAAAGGTTTTAAAACTATATAATTTAGATAATTCAGAGTTCCACATTTTGTTAAGACTTTTAAAAACTGCTACTGACTTGTCAATACATATCACCTTTACTTCCCAGGACTGCACCTGGTACCCACTCAAGGCTGGGTTGACCTGGGAGCCAAAATCATTTTTGTTTTAAATCTCCGGCTCCATCAGGACCCAAATCCATGACCTTCTGGTGTGCAGGTGAGTCTCTAGCCACTAGTTGCAGTGTTTCTAGTCCCAGACTGCTTCTGGCAAAAACACAGCTGACAAACCAGTTTTCTGTCTCCCTATTAATTAATCTAGACCTGATATAGTTGGTTGGTTGTGTATCTCCTGGAAAACTATACGTTTTAACTCTTCTTCTTCTTTGGTTCGCTTAAAATAGATTATCTATATCTGCAATGTTGTCTCTAGTATAAACTTCACTGTCTGTTGTAATTCACCCAGGCAATTGGGCAAAAGTTTTGATATGCTGTATCTGGGACAGTCTTGGAGGACGTGATCTGTGTTATAGAAGAATACAAGAACAGTATGTTGTCTCTGGGGTAATCAAGGAACGAATTGGGAGTAGCTTGGTACCCAAAGAGTCCCGGCATTACGAAGCCTTTGCATCGACTTAGCCACGGAGCTGACATTTACTACACAAATATAAATTAAATAATAAGGATGTGTGCGCACACACACACACACACACACACACAAAATACGAACACAAAATTTGCAGGCCCTCTTCCGAATACCGGTCCCAAATTATTCGCTGCGAAAAACATCCCTTTGAGAGCCTCAAGAGGTTGTGTAGTAAAAACATTTAGGTCATCATCATCACTTCTGTTGTCCGAGCTATTGAAGCGATGTGGGGAGGAATAGATTTTGATCCATTGTTTAAGCGCCGTGGGGAGAAGTTTTTGATCCATTAAAGCGGCGTGGGGAATAATAGTTTTTGCTCCATTGTGCACAATACCCGTGACTCGCCTTGTGGGTTCCAGGGCCACATGTTGGAGAGAGAAAATAAATAGATCCACTGCCACCTGAAAAGCATGTTGTTTCAGGCGACTAATTAGGACTTTGCTGAAATTGGATATATAGGGGCGAAAAGCGCATATAGCACAGCCTAGCTGTAAACCACAACACAACATGCCAACCGCCCTTTAAAGAGCGAATGAAAAAAAAAGAATATTAGCTACCCATGACATGACCATAGAGCATCTCGCAGCTGCTATTGCAGCCTAGCTGTAAACCAAAACAGAACATTCCAACTGCCCTTTTAAGGGCTAAAAAAAAAGTCAACCAGCGGGAATTCGAACACCAGTCACCAGTGTGACAGGCGGAATACTTACAACTCTACTACCCAAGACTCTAAAGTTTGGTGCACATGAAATTATATAATAATGCGAAGCAAAGTTTGTAGTGTTCCTATTCCATGTTTGTAACTATATGACCTCTTGAGACCTTAAATGGGATTTTGTGAACAGTGAATAATTTGGGACCGGTATTTGGAAGAGTTCCAAATTTGCAAGTAGCTGTTTAAAATTAAAGTTCTGCTTAAGTATGGTTTATTTACTTAACTTACTCTGCTTAAAACCTTAAATGCCGAACCCTTTGTATCCGACAATGCTGGCATATCCATATTGTTTATTTAAAAGCTTACCCCAATTTTAACTTACAACATACAGTCAGTACAGAACCTAGGCTATCCTCCGAATAACGGTCCTAAATTATCGAGGCGGAAAATATACCCTAACAGGGCCTCAGTCACGTGTCAACTGCGCACTTGCGTCGTCTTAAATTGCGCACTTGCGGCGACTTCCGCCTAGAGTATCTCCCACGCAGCGTGGATTGGGGGCTAAACTAGATGGCTGGGACTCATGAGCAGCAGCTACTGCATCTCCTGCAGCTTCTTTCATGTTATTTGCTCGTGAGTCCTAGCCATATAGTTTAGCTCCAATTCACGCCACATGAGTGGCGTGGGGGATACCCTCGGCGATGGCGGAAGTAGCCGAAAGTTCGAAATTCGGCGGTGGCGTTATACTATAACGCCACCACCGAATTTCGAACTTTCGGCTACTATAACTTATAGTATCCCTAAGTGCGCATTTGGCATGTGACTGAGGCCCTGTTAGGGTATATTTTCCGCCTCGATAATTTAGGACTGTTGATAGCCCTGCCAACAGTTAAGTTTGGAAGAAGAGGGTGTAGTCTTTGTCTCAAAATCTTATTTTGAGATTTAACTAGTATTATACATTAAAACGTACCATATTACGGACGAAAATACTGCAAACTGTTAGAGATGCAGTGAGTCTACTCTCCCCCCCCCCCCAACATCCCCCCCTCCTCCCTGGAGCTGGGACACAGGAACTCACACTTGTAAGTTATGTATAAAAATATTCTCTCAAAGTATTTTTAATTGCTTATTATTACCAGGGCGCTCCTGTACAAAAACAACCCCCCCCCCCCCCCCGGGAGAGCAGCTGTTCTCAACCTGTGGGTCGCGATCCTTTTCTGGGTCGAACGACCCTTTCACAGGAGTCGCCTATTACCATCAGAAAACACATATTAACCGAAGTAGCAAAGAAAATAATTTATGGTTGGGGGGTGACCACAACATGGGGAACTGAATGAAAATTGAAAGGGTCGGCATTAGGAAAGTTGAGAGCAACTGGCTTAGAGGGAATTGAGCTCTCGGGTACTGGCTCCTATGTGAACAAATTCCTCATTTTTTTTTCTTATATCACTCCTGACAGCCTTCCTCTCGTTAACCACCCTTGTTTCTAGCCCGTCTTGTTAACTGTGGTTAGGTTAAGATGAGACGAACTAAGGCAGGACAATTCAAGTTTCATCGCCGGCGTGATGTTTGAGAGTCGCATTAAAACACGTTTTCTCCCTTAAACTGTGGGGGAGGGGACCTCAAGGGACATTAGTCCCCTAGGTTCCGGAGCCTATGTACTGAGGGCCGACTTGTCTGTAAAATATAGTACTTTATTTTTAATTCACCCCAAACAAAGGAAATCGATGAGTTACCTGGAAAGTCCAATATTCTAGGCATGTTTTGGATTTGAGGTTAGGGTTAGATTTGGGTTAGTCGGTGTCTCTGAGGCGGTCGGAACTGATTACTAAACTGACTACCAATCTTTTCTAGGCGGTATCATCATCATCACACCAACGAGAACTCAAGAAACTGATAAGTTTATTAATTGTTCAGGATTTACAGCCAACATAGACAATGGGAACTCTTCAGGATTAAAACTTAGTATGGTTGATAACTGGAGTTCACATAACAATCACATCCAGGTCGTTGGGCAAATCATGTCTGCTGGTGGTGACGGCTGAGACAATGCCGAACACGTACTCTTATTGCGGCAGAATTATTAAAGGTGTTGTTTTGGATATCACAGGGGTTTTAAAAGAAAGTGGTCCAAATGGCGGAACTGCAATAAATGGGTCTATCGATGCGATTAATAGGTGGGTATATAGTTTGTGTGCTTCTTCACTAAAAGTCCATGCCGTGTGGCGGTGGTAGTCATATTAAAATTTTGGGCTCTCCTTTCAATACCGGACGAGGGCTGGACGGCTTAGTTCAGTTTAGTGGGAGTTCTCTCCCTTGGCCCCACTGGAAACAGTGAGCGGAAAAGTCACGAATCAAAGAAGACAGTGAGGTCGACATCAGGGCTGCCAATGCTTGGTTGTGTCCCCCAGATCTGTTTTTTTTTTTGACGCAACGGGGAAATCTGGGTTTTGGTTTTTGCCGATGTGTATGCTTTAATGGCCGATAAATTTGCGTGGTTAGGGGTAGGATTAGGGTTAGGGTTAGGAATAACGTTAGGGGTAGGGTTAGGTTTAGCGTTAGATGTGACAATTGTGACGCATGAGTTCCCTATAATCGCGCACAGTCACATACACACCCAAACAGTCAACGGACTGTGGGTGCTACGGACAATTCGCCACCGATTGGGCACTAACCGCGCGCTATTGCCGTCATATTTGGCAGAATTTCATTGGCGCCACTCCCACAAGCATTAGATTGTTGGCCAGTATTTGGAACTCCTACGTCAAAATTTTCACATCTAACCCTACCCCTAACCCTAACCCCCAACCCTACCGCTAACCCTAACCCTAACCCAAACCCTACGCAACCCTACACGCAACCGTATGATGATAGGCAACCCTACACGCAAGAGTATGATGACTACGCAACCCTTCACGCAACCGTATGATGACTCCGCAACCCTTCACGCAACCGTATGATGACTACGCAACCCTACACGCAACCGTATGATGACTACGCAACCCTACACGCAAGCGTACGCAAACGTATGATGATAGGTAAGTATGTCATTTGTTTCGTGACTTTTCCGCTCACTGTTTCCAGTGCGGCCAAGGGAGAGAACTCCCACTAAACTTAACTAAGCCGTCCAGCCCTCGTCCGGTATTGAAAGGAGAGCCAAATTTTGGCTCTCCTTTCACTACAGTACAGGCCGGTAGCTGGAAAGCCGCCGATCGGCTTAGTGGGAGTTCTTTCCCTTGGCTGCATTGCAAACACGGAGCGGACAAGTCACGAATCAAAAAAGACAGTGAGGTCGACAACAGGGCTGCCAATGCTTGGGTGTATCCCCCAAATCTGGGTGTTTATTTGACGCTTCGGGGACATCTGTTTTTTTTTTTAAAAGTAAATATATCCTTATATAAAAGTGGTATTAGTTGCCACGGATATGACTCCTGCAGATCTGTATGACTTAATGACCGATACATTTGCGTGGTTAGGGGTAGGGTTAGGGTTAGATGTGACAATTTTGACGCAGGAGTTCCAAATAATCGCGCACAGTCACATACACACCCAAACAATCGAAGGACTGTGGATGCTACTCAAACGGACAAGTCGCCACCGATTGGGCACCAGCCGCCCGCTAGTGCCGTCATATTTGGGAGAAATCCAGTGGTGCCACTCCCACAAGCATCAGATTGTCGGCCATTATTTGGAACTCCTACGTCAAAATTTTCACATCTAACCCTACCCCTAACCCTAATCCTAACCCTAACTCTAACTAACCCTAACCCTAACGCTGCTAACCCTATCCCTAACCCAAACCCTACACCCTACGCCACCGTATGATGACTACGCAACCGTACACGCAACCGAATGCTGATAGGTAAGTATATCATTTGATTCGTGACTTTTCCGCTCCGCCCGTGTTTGCAATGCAGCCAAGGGAGAGAACTCCCACTAAGCCGATCGGCGGCTTTCCAGCTACCGGCCTGTATTGAAACAAGAGCCAACATTTTTCACAACCTTCTGTCTCCTGTACTTTCAGTCAATTCTGACACAGGTGATCCCCCATGCCATGATGTCAGACTGTTTAGCATCTTTTCTCTCGGTCTCCCTCTCCTCCAACCCAGCTCTCCTACTGTCACGATGTACCCCAGTTTTCTCCTTCTCATCACATGACCAAAAAATATAGGATTTATATAGCTCTTAAGAATGTTCTTTCTCGCCTCAGTTGACAAAGAAAGATTACATAAAATATTCTTCATTCTGTAAATTCTGCATTTGCTTGAGCTATTCTACATTTAACTTCTTTAATACATCTTCCACCTGATATTATCAGGGTACCCAAGTATTTACTAACTTGACTAAATATGGCCTATATCGTATGCACATGTGTGAATCTGGTCCTTTACATTGGCTTGTCTTTTGCCATGAGTATTTACTATTTTTGGCAAAGGGTTGCCACGTCTCAAATTGTAACAAAGCCCCCCCCCCCCCCCCCCCCCCGCCGCTCCCACGCACACACACACATGCACACACTCTTTCTCTGAGGTAATTGTTAAGAATATGTTCATTTGATCTCTTTCATGTTCACCTATTTATGAACATATAAACTTAAATAATTCCTTTTGTTTGCAGTAAAGTGAATTGAACTCATTTTTGCACACTTAATATGTAGTTTTTAGATTAGCCTGTTATTTTATCAAGAATTTTTTTACTTTTCAAACATGTACAATGATTAAAACCTGTCCTCGATATGTTGATTTTCTTTTAATATGTTCTAGATTATATGAAAGTGGCCTGCAGTTTCGCTTTTGTACCAATGAAACAACTGTAACAAGACATCATTTAGTGAACCAGCTTAGAAGATTAGGTTTTACTATTGAAGAGGACAAAGTGTTTTCACCAATTCCTGCAGTTTGCCAGATTCTGAAAGAGAGAAATTTGAGACCACATCTACTTGTTCACAAAGGTTAGATTTATATATTTTCAAGTTCTATCTTTTTCATTTAAGCTCACTTGCTGAAGAAAGCCATCTTTATAACACAAGCGACGGTAAAAAAGTAATCCCTCCCATTTTTTGCATCTATGTAAATATGGTATTGATGTGCAATTTGTCAATTTAGCAGGAAAGAGCAAGATGACAAACGGAATAAACATAACAAGGTGACCAAAAAATAACAAGCCATTTTTATAATACGAGCGATAGTCACAAAGTAATGTCTTTCATTTTTGCATCTATGTAAATACTGTATCGATGTACAATTTTTAAATTTAGCAGGATTCCTCAGATACTTCTGCACTTAGCCTTACCAATTTGTTTCAGTAACAGCAGTGCTGTAACAGTTTAAAAATGGCTTCCAAAGACATTCAGTTAAAACAGCGTAGTTTATTGAAATTCCTCAGTGTTGAAGGCAAGATCCCAGTTCGCATCCACAAATGTTTCAAGAATGTTAACTCATAGAGTCCCAAAGAACGCATCATACGTTCATAGGTTACTGCCTAGATGCCCAATGAACGCATAATGCGCCGATTTTACGTCTCTATTGACTGCCTCTTGGGCCTGTGATGCTAAACCATCTGGGACTCAAAGAGTTAAGGAGATTTAGTAATGGACGTTAGCACTGTCCAGTGCTGGGTACATCGTGACAAAGTAGGTCAATCCTCAATGGCTGACACAAAGTGAACTATCCATCTACCGCAGTTAATCCAGATGACATTCGTCAAGTTGATGACATTGTTCGTGTTGACCATCATGTAACACTGGATAAACTGTATTCCATGTTGTCCATAAGAAAAGGAAGTGTTCAGACTATTAATTAAAGCCCTGGGTTATTCAAAGGTTTGTGCACAGTGGGTACCCAGAATGTTGACAGACAGATATAAACAAGGAAAAACATAGCCATCAACCACATTTTTACCATATGGGCATACATGTTCTTGTAAGAAGATGGACAATCACTAACAAATAATGGAGACTACGTCAGGAATTATATTTTTGAAGTTCAAATTTTGGGCTACATTTCAGTGTAAATTTTTATCTGTTTTTCTGCCTAATGAATGCAGTAACAAATTACGAGCATTACTTTGTGACTGTCCCTTGTAAATCTGCCCATATATTATTTTGACCCTAAGGAAGTCGCCGTGGTGAAGCGGTTTGGGTCCTGAGGGAGCCAGACTTTTTGTTTTTCAAAAATGACCTTGGCTCCCAGGTCCACCCAGTCTTGAGTCGGTACCAGGTAAATTCCTGGGAAGTATAGGTGGCCGGCATGATGCTGCCCACATCACCTACTAAGTGCCTAGTGGTCTGTAAAAAAATATAGTGCACCTGAAGGCGTGGAAAGGGGTCCTTTACTTTACCTTACTTAAGGGAATGCAAAGGATAGTATCATTCCAATCTGTATTAATTTGGCAAATGGTGTTGTAGACTTCCTGCAGGAAAAATGCTTCCAGTTGCAAAGCGGAGGCAGTGGAACTGGGGGAGGCGGTGTCCATGTTGCTCAGGGAGTACGGCTCTGAGCCCGAGTTGGCTGTACTGACAGATAGATGCTGGCCCAGTAGTGCAGGCAGAACAAAATGACAGGTGACTACAGTGCAAAGGGCTTAGATCTGTGCACTGAGTTGCTGTATGTACAAGAAATTTAAGATTGGGAACTCAGAACTTTGCCTAAGCGGACAGGCACAGCAAATACTGCAGATGTGCTGCAGATATGATCTGTGCATGCAGTACAAAGATCCCAGATCTGGCCGGTGATATATTGGTGGGTGTGTGTGTGCGTGCATATGAGTGGGTGTATGTTGGAAAGGGGGGGAGGAGTGTTTGCTAATCCTGTTCTGCTTTTCAGCCTCATGTTATGAAGAGGTATCTGATAAACCTTGGTGTGTGCTATGTTGTTGCTGGTTTTCCATCTATCCACCAAAACCAGGCAAAGATTATTCGGGGCTCAATGGTTTCAGAATTATCACCCTACAAAATACTGTTGGCAAGGTGCTAGAAAAGATTATTGTTGTTAAACTACAAATGTTTTTGGAAAGGGAAGAGCTACTGTCAAAAGGTTTGGGTAGTTACAGGCCACGGAAAGATACATGGTCTAATGCAGCTACTTTTGCTTTTGATGTTTATGAAAGGTCCCAGAACAGACAGGAAACAGTTGTGGCAGCATTTGATCTTGAGGATGCCTACAGTAGAGTCTGATACGATATTTTGATATCTGCACTCATGGAGAAGGGAGATTGTCCCTGGCTTGTGAACTGGATAGCAGCTGTCCTGCATACATGTACGATAGAAGCCTGTCCTATAGAGGCAGTTGTGGTGAAATCCCAAAAAGGACTCAATGCTCTTAAGATTATGGCAGCAATGGACATGGAACAAAGAATGCTGTTCACAATGTTCCAGCATGTGATATTGTCGGTGATTGGCTAGTTAGTTAGTTGGGTTATCATCATTGCACTCTGGACATGTCCATAGGTGCTCAGATCCTCCCCTCAGTATGAACCACAACGTCCGATGGCTACCAGTACCAGTTCTATGTGGATTAACAAGTCTTCTGGTGTGCCTGGTGTGCATCTTGTTTTTTGCTATGCCGATCTTAATTCCCAAGTCTGTCATTTTGACGAGTGATGTGGATTCACTGCCCCCAAAGTCCTCTATCCTTCCCATTTCTCTGAGGGCATTAATAATATCAGCATGATCCATAGGCTGACCGTCGGTAGTGATATCGGACCAAACCAGCCTTTGAGCTCTTTCATTTCCATTAACGCCTGCATATCCCGGAACAAAAATAAAGGTGACTCCATGTACAGTGGACTTCTGTAATGATTCAAGCCATTGTCTTCGCACCGAACCTGCCTGAACCCTCAGGATCATACTCATTGAATCACTGAGTATACATACGCGGGTGTAATTTTATGTTTCGAGCCAGGCGAATGCTTGAATCACTGCCATCACCTCCATTGTCATGCTGCTGGTTGTCATGGAGAAGGTGCGGTTTGCTTCTTTGACTGTTCTGCCCACTGAGCATGCTGTGAATGCCCATGCGCTTCTTTTTTCATGTATAATGGATCCGTCTGTAGATTAGTGCATCTGCTTCGTCTAAATTTTCACTGATGAGAGCGTTGACCTCTGCATTAACAGCGACAGGATTCTCTTCACTACATCGCCTGTTAAGTGTGGCAATACAGGGAAATGTAAAAATAAACGCATGAGGCACAGGTATCCACTCTGCCGGTGATTGGTTATTGATTTGGAATGCTTACCATATCAAAGAGTCAGCTGATAAAACTCGAACACATACAGAATGAAGCCATGTGGGTAATTCTGGGATTTACAAGAGATACCCCGATAGTATGTATGCAATAAATACTATTGCAGATAGGCTCACAATTCTGTAAGCAAAGGCATATCTCAGAGTAGCTGTAGACAAGAGGCACCTCCTGCATGAAGCCCTGGGTAGAGCTAAGGGTCACAGACTGAAAAGAGGAATGTCTTGGATGGCACACACTGAAGACACAATTGGACATGTGTGCAGGCTTGATAATTTTGGGTGAGGAGAGGAGTATGTCAAGGTGTCTGAACAAGTTTCAGACTTGTGTAGAGTTCTAATTAGGGCTGTACCAAATAGTGATTTTCACTATTCGGCCGAATACGAATAGCTGGACCAACTATTCGGCCGAATACGAATACGAATAGTGAATCATCATCATCAAGTGCTTTGCCGGCTGGCATGGGCGATTATGCCTCGCCACAATCTGCGATCTCCTGCAACACGTATTAGTTCGTGTGCTGACACACCTCCAAGAAAAACCTTCGTTCCATGTTGTCAGCATTAGGCCAGCTTTTTGTCTCACTGAAGGTATTTCCAGCTGTACTAAACAGGAAAATACGACAAATACAGAGAGTCAAAATGAAAACCCGCAAGGCGAAACATCAAAAAACAAAAATAACGCCGACGAAGAAAACAATGCCGTCCTTACAAGTCGCCCAGCCCCCCGCGAGCTCATGAAACCAGACGCCGGGCGGCCAACGCCAGAAGATCAAACAACAAAGACAATCAAGAAACCGAACGTCGATCAAAACATTCAGCCGCTGCCGTTTCCACGAGACGACGAAAGAACAGATACGACACCCATAAATGATGACGAACTCCCATTACTTCAAAGAATCAACGAAGAGGACACTCCACTCAAAGAAATCAAGCCGACAACACTAGAACACTTGCTTTTCTGCCCCTCTTACATTTTTAAGTGTTGCATTTTGTTTCTACAGCAACACACCTAAAAACACTATACTCGCAACACATGCAAGATAGAAATAAAGGGACACTTGGTACGCTGGTAGGTGGTGCACAAAGATAACGCTTCACAGTATAAACCAAGGTGGGAAGTCTTGATGTTTTTTTTTCCACCAGTCCAGAAACGGTTGTGAGGTAACCACTATTCGTATTCGGCCCGACCGCAACTATTCGGCCAAATACCGAATAGTTATTGGGTCCACTATTCGGCCCCGAAGCTAATACGAAGCGAATATTGGGTACAGCCCTAGTTCTAATCACGTTAGGTCACGAGTGCAGAGACTGGTCAGCTGGTGCTGCATAATCAGAAATTCAACAAATAATTCATGACAATTCCCGCCCAAGTGATGTGATTATTTGAACAGATGGATCTGTGTTAAGGGGCACACGAAGTGCATTGGGGTTTATAACAAAAGTGAATGGACATCGTCTAGTGCAGCAAAGCCTTGCATATGATATCACAATCCCCCGTGTGGGTTCCGGGGCCCCATTGTGGGGAAAACAAGAATAGACCCACTGCCTCCCCAAAAGCATGTAAGAGTCGGCTAATTGGGGAGCTTTCTTTGAAGTCGGAGTGCATCTGCCAGAGAGGCAAGAAACCAACAGTCTGTATTCAAGAGAATGAGATCTGTAAAACTGATGCACACGTAACACTCAGGTTCTGGAGCAGGAATGCAGTTCAGTAGTGGACGAGCAACCAGAACTTTCCGCCAGAGTCTACAGCTGGTGAACGTGAAGAAGAAGAAGATATCACAATGTCAAGTTTGAGAATGGAGGTGTAGGCAGTTTCTGCTGCCTTCTGCTGGCTTGAGAATCAGCTGTACACACATACCGTGATTGTAACTGACTCATAGAGCATGTTGAGAAAGGTAAAAGCAGGCATGCTTCGTGCAGAGTGGCAAGCATCACTTCAGAGGTCCAGAGTAGTTAGCATCCTTTGGATATTTTCCCCGGGTTATGCCGGTGTGCTGGGAAATGAGCAGGCAGATAGACTGGCTGGCTATACACCACTTATTAGATATTGTGAGGGCCCTTTGGGAACGGGTGAACAGTGAGGAGGTGCAGATAGATCATTACGGTCTGAGGAGAATGGCGCTGCGAGGGGTTACCAGGGGATTTGGCCAATGCTCAGCACTCAGGGGAAGGATGAGACTGATATACAGTCAGATGGTTACTGGTACCATCGGAATTGGAACATCATTTGCTGCTGAATATAGGGGACTGAGCACTTATGGGAGTTTCCCGAGTGCTGTGATGTCCATTTACTTCCAAGGACTGTACTTGGTACCCATTTTAGGTTCAGTCAACCTGGAATCCAAAGCCTTTTGTTTTGTTTTGTTTAAATACTGCTTGGTGTGGATTTAAACCCACATCCTTCGGGCTTGCAAGTGAGTATCAAAAAGCTTCACCTGTGAAAAATGGTGCAAATTATATTATTTCAGATTCACTACCAGACTTTAAAGATGTGGATAAGAATGATCCAAACTGTGTAGTAATTGGAGATGCTACAAATGAGTTTTCCTATGATAATCTTAACAAAGCTTTTCGTTGCCTGATGGAAATTGAGCAGCCAGTTCTGTTCTCCCTGGGCAGTGGGTAAGTGAAGTTGTAGTGAAGTCATTTGTAATAGCTTATTTTGTCAAGTTTGATTTTTGCCATATGTTTTTACATTCTTATTGTGTTGTTCTTGTTGTTGCAACTGCTCCTAATCTCGTATTCAGATAAGTTATGACTTGATGGATAATATGGTCAGTATCACCCAAGCCACGTTTATTTCCCTGGACATTTCCTATAATGAAATTTGATAAGAGAGACCAGAGCTGCTGTTCTGGATTTTATACTAGTGTCAAGTTTGCATAGGACAGAACGGAATCAAGGAATTAGCTGCAAGCCCATATGATTTATAAAGGTTAGTTGCGTATCCTTTACAGGATGTTGCAGAACCAACCCCAACAGCCCCTGGCTGTTGTGTGGTTTCTCTTGACAAATTTATGTCCAGTAATTCGCCATTGCTTTCTGGACGGTCTGCTTTCTTGATACCACTGTCGAAACCAATGCAAGGCGCATGGCTCGCAACTGGGATCGAACCTGGCATTCCAGCATTACAGAGCGTTCGCATCGACTTAGCTACAGAGCCGACATGATTTATAAACAGAAATGATAATGGGACAGAACAGCTGGACATGAATGATAGCGGTATTAAGATAGATTTGTGGAAACAAAATGCCATGGACCATATTTTGTGGAGGTGGCAAATCAGGAAGGGAATGAGAATGAAGAAAGAAATGATTGCAGAAAGGATGAGAGCTGAGCATCTGAGATGAAACACACTAAATATATATGATGGCAACAAGAGTCCTTAAATATTATGCTCTAATAAATTTGGAAGACTTTTTTTAATGTCGGCGGGTCTTGCTAATCACACTCGTGATCGCCCTATGATGTCAGTCCCATGCCTCCTTATAGCACACAGTATAACACTATATCTAGAAAGATACCACCAGTGGGACAGAAGGATTTAACTCTTTGAGTCCCAAGGAACACACCGTATGTTCCGTTCCTACCTAGAAGCCCAATAAATGCAAGATGCGCCGATTTTAGGTCTCTCTTGACTACCCCTTGGGCCTCTGATGCTAAACCCCCTGGGACTCAAAAAGTTAAGGAAAGTGTACACTGTATCCACCCACCATTCCCACCCCCCATCCTACACTATCCTAAACAGCGGTAAAAACTGGCAGTAATGATGGTAATGTGTGAGAAGAAGAAGGTTTCATAATAAATAATCAAGCCATTAACCTCATGTTTTGAAGATCATAGAAATGTTTTTAGACCGTCAGATCTTTTTTTGTTAATATCTGCTTATGCATCTAGGTGTCGCAGTTCATCAGACAATCCACAGCTGAGCCAGTGTGTGCGTGGTTGCTTGATAATGCTGTGATGTTATGCAATCTGAAGGTGTCAGTGACTCCATCAAACCATCTTCTTCTCGGTCTTCCCCTGCCTCTTGGTGTTACAATTTTCACGTTGTATGCTCTTGCTACTAGCATCATTGATTTAATTCTCATTAGATGGCTAAACCATTTCATTCTTTGTTTCTCAAAAAATTTGATGATGGGTGTTGTTCCAACAGTTCTTGTGATCATGAATTTTCTCACTCGATCTATTCTGGTTTTATTCACAGCCATTCTCAAACATCTAATCGCCCAGGTGGTTAGTTTTTTTTTTCTCATGTTCGTTTGGACTGTTAGTTCATGAGTACAATTTTACTGAAGATCCCTGTGGCTTGTCACTGAGGCTACAAAGTTCATACTTTGTGAGGTGCTCTCAGCAGAGACAGTCAGCTGGATGGGGGGAAAACTTGGGCAGTTGAATCAGTCCTCTTATATTTTTTGTACTGTGTTTGAAAAATAAATGTATAGTAAGTTTATTGGTACGAAATGAGTTCACATAACATCTTACTCAAGAGAGCCTTCGTCATATTATTTTGTCTCTTATATTCCTTTGTATTCTGTTGAACTAGTAAATGTCAAGTAAAGTAAGTAAAAAAAAAAGTAAAGGACCCTTTTCCACGCCTTTAGGCGTATAGGGCTAGACCTATATTTTTTTAGACCAATCGGCACAATATGGGGAATGTGGTCAGCATCACGCCAGCCGCCTCTACTTCCCGGGACTGCACCTGGTACCCAATCAAGGCTGGGTTGACCTGGGAGCCAAGGTCAAATAATGACTTCGTTTCTGATGGGTTTTTTTTTTTTAAGTATCCAGAAGCCATGAATTGCTAACCCTTTGGCTCGGTATTATGAATATCGCAACCTTTTGGCCTTGATTCCATGATAAATACCATAAGTTTGGGAGAAATGTGGCTTTTCTGCCTACCCTCGGGCGTGAACCCAGAAAATGTCAAGTAACGGACCCATTTCACGACTTATTGGCATTCAATTAATGATGTGGTTAACATCACACCAGCCACTTTTACTTCGCAGGACTTTCCCTGTTACTCATTTTAGGTTGAGTTGACCTGGGGAAAAAAGGATAGCTTTGAAAAATCCTGCTCAGTGCGAATTCAAACTGAAGACTATGGGCCGGCAGATGAGAGTAGCTGCTTCCTTCCCACAGCTCCCCATGCACCAGTGTGAAACAAGGTGAACATTCTGAATGTCAAGTTGTTTTGATTCATTTCTAGGAGGTACTATCAAGAAGATGGGGAACTTGTGTTAGATGTGGGACCATACATGAAAGCTCTGGAGGTAATATGTTACGTTTATGGTACAAGTTGTTTGTGGGTTCTTTAAATCTTTCAGTCCCAAGTAACACCTAGTGTGTGATTGAATTTGCCCCTTGAATTCCCTCCACAGCATAATGCACTCTCTTACTGTTACCATTTGGTCAGAACATACTAGAGAAATCTGGCTACCCCCATTGGTCACTATGACTATGTATATTGCAACTTTGAACATAAAACATTTATGACTGGCATTATTATTTCATCACACTGGTATCTCCTGTAAAGCCCTGTGGTAGTGAAAGAGTTGAGGATGCTGATTAAATTTTATTTTTACTTACAGTAACCTTGTGTGGGTACTGGCACCTCCCTTAGGGTGAAAAAGAAAAAAAATAAATAGATTCACTACACTCTTAACAAGCCTGTTGTAAATGATGACTAATTAGGAGTTTACTTAAATTGAATATGTTGGACAGAAAGGTGCAGATATCAAAGTCTGTCTGTAAACCATAAGATAATGTGCCAACTACTCTTTCAAGAAGAAGAAGAAGAAGAAAATATTAATGAAGATAGAATAGAAAATCCCTGTTTGAGTTCCATGCTTCCTGGTGTAGGGATAACAAGAATAGACCCATTGCCTTCCCAGAAGCATGTCGTAAAAGTCTTCTTATTAGGAGCTTCCTTTGAAGTTGGACTGCATCCATTCCTTCCCATAGAATTATGGTATTGTGAAGCTAGATTATATATTTTTTTTTAGTATCCAGAAGCCATGAGTTGTTAACCATGATATTGCAACCTTTCGGCCTTGATTCCATTGTAAATACTGTAAATCTGGGAGAAATGTGGCTTTTCTGCCTACCCCTGACCACAAGGAGTTCGTCACCCGGTCACCGCGCAATCCTGTTTAGCCAACTAAGCTAGAGAGCCGGGCGTCTAGATTCTATAAATATGTGTCCAGCTTCTGGTCAAGATGGTGAGGCAAAAGGATTTTTTTTTACCAGCTTTTGCCTGAAAGGCAAGGAACCAACAGTCTGCATACACATGAATCAGATATGTGAAACAGATGTGCACACAACACTCAGGTTCTGAAACAAATAGAGTCCAAAAGTGGACCAACAACTAGAGCTTTCCACTCAAGATTACAGCAGATGAATGCTAAGAAAAAAAGAAAGAAGGATAAAAAAGTTATACAAAATTCATCTTCAGGGTGTATTTATTAATAAGATTTATCAGCAGAAAGCCACTTAGTCCCTTGGCAAACTGTCTTACCTCGTGAACTTCTATGACTGGAGTATATTTGATATTCTGTGTCCACCATTGTGCTGGTCGTCCCCTGTGTCTTTCAGAAACTATACTTCCATTACTGTTCTCTCCAAGCCTTTATTAGGGCATTTAAAATGGCTGAGATATTTTAGTTTCTGTGAAATAATACTTTATGTGAACCAGTCTTCTTATGTTCGGATTCGATAAGTTTTTGTCTCCTTGTGGGTTCAAGCGCTCTGGTTTTTGTGTGTGTGTACAAAAAAAAAAAAAGAAACGAATCATTGCTTCTTAACACTTCTGTCACAGTACATGTGTGAGAAGTAGAAGAAGAAGACAAAGATGTTATAATATTTCACTATATTTCATAAATAAAAAAGATAGAAAGAATTGCTGGGTTTGGGAAAATATTGAGTTTTTACTGTTTAACATCCAGAAAAGTATGTTTGATAAAATAAATGGACTCTCCTGTCAAATCTGGACGAAGAATAAACAGCCTTGGACGACTTAGTCAGAGTTCTCTCCCGTGGCCGCACTCCAAACAGTGATCGGAAAATAAACGAAACAAACGACACACTTACCTATCATCCTGCGGTTGCGTGTAGGGCTGCGTACGGTTGCGTGAGGCATCGTGAAGGTTGCGTAATCATCATACGGTTGCGTGTAGGGATGCGTAGTGTTTGGGTTTGAGTTAGGGGTAGGGTTAGAGTTAGGGGTAGGGTTAGAGTTAGGGGTAGGGTTAGGGTTAGGGGTAGGGTTAGGGGTAGGGTTAGGGTTAGGGGCAGGGTTAGGGTTAGGGTTAGGGGTAGGGTTGGGGTTAGATGTGAAAAATTTGACGTAGGATTTCGAAATACTGGCCGACAATATGATGTTTGTGGGAGTGGCTAGGGTTAGGGGTAGGGTTAGGGTTAGATGTGAAAAATTTGACGTAGGATTTCGAAATACTGGCCGACAATATGATGTTTGTGGGAGTGGCGCCACTGAAACTCTGCCAAATATGACGCCAATAGCGTGCGGCTGGTGCCCCCAATCGTTGGCGAATTGTGCGTTTGACCAGCATCCAGAGGCCCTCGATTGTTTGTTTGTGTGTATGGGACTGTGCGCGATTATAGGGAACTCCGGCGTCAAAATTGTCAAATCTAACGCTAAACCTAACCCTAACCCTAATCCTAATCCTACTCCCTAACCCTAACCCCTACCCCCTAACCACGCAAATTTATCGATCATTAAAGCATATAATTCGGCAAACACCAACAAACAAAACACACCCAAGAAAACACCCAGAATTGTCCTGCAGCGTCGAAAAAAAACTAGATCTGGGGGAAACAACCAAGCATTGGCAGCCCTGATGTCGACGTGACTGTCTTCTTTGTTTCGTTGTGGCTTTTCCGATCACTGTTGGGAGTGCGGCCACGGGAGAGAACTCTGACTAAGTCGTCCAAGGCTGTTTATTCTTCGTCCGGATTTGACAGGAGTACCAATAAATGAATATCCAGTATGGAATCCTTTTCCATAAATCTATCAGATGCCATGTCCAAAATGAAGGTTCGCAGCAATGAATCTCCAGCACGCTGTGTCTTTTACCCTGGATGTACACTCTTTTAGACATTATAACTAACTTATGGGAATAGTCAGAATGGGTTCCTTCGGATGGCTACTAGATCAGAAGACTGAGCATGGACAGGAATGTCCAGTGTGCAGTGAAGTCGATTGTGATAACATAACTCTCTCAGACTGCTTTTTTGTCAATCTTTAGATGTTACTCACCCACTTGTATCGCTGTGTGCCTCTTGCTCACTTGCCTTAAAGTTTTCCTTCCAGAATTTTTTTTTTAAATCAGTGTTTTGTTTTTGCCTTGAGGCATGTTGGATATATGGTGCTAGCCACACATTTTCTATAGAATAATTGGCACTTGATGGGCGGTGTGGCTACTATGAGCCAGACTACCCTTACTAATTGATTATTATTCTCCTTCCCCCATGGATATTTGTTATGAACCCACCTAAGAATTGAAGCGTTGGAGTACTAATTATCTAGAACTGAAAAAGTAAATCATTTGAAACAAATTAAATTAATGAAACACCTGTCGGGTCAGTTAAGAGAGTGAGAGAATTGTACTTAAAAGGTAGACCCGCAGCTGACACTTCCAGTTGAGTTGAGTTGAGTCAAATATTGACATCACAGCACTCTGGGCATTCCATTGTGTGCTCCATCCTCATCTTCAGCAGCCAGCACAGAGTTCCAATACTGATGGTGCCGGTCACAATCTGGGTATATGTCCCTCTTGCCTTTCCTCTGAGTGTAGTGAGCTGGCCAGACCATCTGGTGACTCCCAGGTGCCTCATTCTCTCCAGGCCGTAAAATCTTGTTTCTCTACTAATTCCGTTGCTTGTTCCCAAAGGGAACCACATCTGCCTTGTCATGTATTAAATCACCACCCAATGATGCAGATCAAGCAGCTTATACTTCCAATGTTGTATAAAGTGTTTGACTTTTAGACATTCTAGCTGTAGGAACTTGTGCCTTTTCTCATCACCTTTCCTTTCCATATAATTATAGTATGATGAAGCTAGATTATACAAATATGAGTCTAACAGCAGATGCCAATGAAGCTAGATTATACAAATATGAGTCTAACAGCATATGCCAATGAAGCTAGATTATACAAATATGAGTCTAACAGCATATGCCAATGAAGCTAGATTATACAAATAGGAGTCTAACAGCATATGCCAATGAAGCTAGATTATACAAATATGAGTCTAACAGCATATGCCAATGAAGCTAGATTATACAAATATGAGTCTAGCAGCATATGCCAATGAAGCTAGATTATACAAATATGAGTCTAACAGCATATGCCAATGAAGCTAGATTATACAAATATGAGTCTAACAGCATATGCCAATGTGCCGCTGGCATAAAAAGGGTCCTTTACTTGCATACTAGGTCAACTCTTCACAGTTGTGCTGGTTTGAAAATCCTAAATTGTACTCATCATCATCATCATAAACCACTTCTGCCATTAAGAGTCGTGGGGAGGAATAATTTGCAATCCAGTGCACTCAGGCTGCCACCGGCTATTGTCATGCCATGAAGGCGTAGAGTGTCTTTAATGTTGTCGATCCATTTTTCTGCGGCCGTTCTCTTGCTTTTGTAGCTATCTTCTGAGATGTAATTATTGTGATGGTATTTGATCTTGCTGCATTATAACGAGATGGCCAAACCACTTGATCTGCTGTTTCTCGATGAATCTAAATTGTACTAGAGTTGCTAGAATTAAATGTTTCCTGTTGAAATGTTTGGTCTTCAGTATGCTACAGATGTGAAAGCTGAGGTAGTGGGCAAGCCATCTCTGTCTTTCTTTACTGCTGTATTAAAAGACATGAATGTTTTACCAAATGAGGTAAGTCAAAGCAGGTCGTGAGAATATTTATTTTAGTGTTTAAATCATAATGAGTGAATGAATCAAGGATTGACATTATTACGCTTTGGACATTCTCACACATGCTCTCTCTCCTTCCGCAGCAGCCAACCCAGAGTTGACACATGCTAATAGTACCTGTTGCAGCCTGAATAAAATTCCACGAGTGTCTCCCCCCCCCCCCCCCCCCCCACCTCCACCCCACCCACAGTGTTGAATATCTTTCATACCCCTCTCCTTGTCCATTGTATCAGTATATGGATTCTCTGTCCATTCTGTTGCACTGTTCATTTGATCCCTGAGAGATTTCACCACATCCACTTCATCATAAAGTAGCTCACTGTCCAGAGGAGCGGCAGCAACCAATATTAGCCTGCTCGTTACCCCGCACACCCAAATGTCCTGGACAGAAAATCAATGATATGCTGCTGACCTGAGCCTTATCAAGTGATGCAAGCCAGTCTACATGTAGAACGTCCATTTACATTTTTTGAGGCATGATGTGTGAGTTAACTACAGTTACAACATGTCAGGCTGTGGTGCTGTCAAGCTATCAGAAAGCTGCTATTACTGGCTCTACCTCCGTTCTCATACTGGATATTGTGATGTTGTACGCAAGGTTCAGCCATCTAGTGAGAATGCGGCCAGGTCTAACTGCATATGAGACTTTTTACAGCAGAACATCTGGTAGGAAGGCGAGAGGAAAATCAAGAAAAATTTGGATAAATGCTGTAGCCAAAACCTGTAAGAAGATGAACAAATCCTTCACCCAAGCCACCCGAGAAGTGCAAGACAAAAAAAGAAAATCACAACACTGGGCTATAACCTGTTATCAGTGAGACGACAGACAGTGTCCGTTCACTTTTGCAATAAAACCCCCACTCTTCACACTTCTCACTACAGACTCATATGTGTTTATAATGATATCACCTGACCGTGAATTTTCTTTGATCAACTCTTGCACCACTGTTTCTGTTTCACCGGCTACCCATTCCTGACACCCTCAGTCCAAGGTAATGTCACCCTGTGCAAGGCTGTTTTACTGGTGACACTGATCCATTCCTCACCATGCAGTATTTTGCCAGTAGTACAAACATTTCTTACAGTGACTTCTGCCATCCAAAAGCTACCTCTTTTCAGCCACTGAAAGTATTAGTGCTAGAATGTTTATATATATCACTAATCTCATCATCATCATGTTTCCACTTCTGCCATTAAGCATTTGTAGGGAGGAACAGTTTGCGACCCTTCGCTTGAGGGGCAGCATTGGCTATTGTCATCTTTGGCGATTTAGAAGCTCTTTGATGTCATCAATCCATTTGCTCCTAGGACAGCCTCTTGTTTTTACTTCAAATCTTTTCATGTGTAGTACCTGCATTGGTGGTAGTTCTGGCTGCATTCTTACTTATTGACCAAACCATCTGATCTTCTGTTTCTCAGTGAATTTGCTACATGGTCTTGTTCCTACAGGCTGTCTGATAATATCATTTCTAACTTTAACTCGGATAGCTAAGTTGGCAGCTTTTCTCAGGCATCTCATTTCACAGATGTTAATTTTACATAGGTTAGCCTTTGATAATGTCCAAGTCTGGCACTGGAAGCACAGTATTGGTATGCTGTTTATAATCTGTTTCTAGGCACTCATATTTATGTTTGGATGTCCTAATAATGTTATCATTTGGTATATAAGCACATTGGCTTTGTGGCATCTTGTTTCTATTTCCCCGATCTATTCTCCCATCCTCTGAGAACATACTTCCTAGATATTAAAATTTTAAAACTTATTTGAACAGATTAACACTAATCTGCTTGTTCTGGATCTTGTATGTCTTAAAAATATGAGCAACAGTATAACAGGGAATGATGCAACATATGTAAGTGCTGATTATTTTCTTCAGGCTGTCATGGTTGGAGATGACATTGTCAGTGATATAGGAGGAGCTCAGGCCTGTGGATTAGCAGGTGTATTGGTTAGGACAGGAAAGTTTCGGTATGATTTAATTTACTCTTTGAATCTGCCATAAATGTAATTATTAAAAACAGGTGCTAAGAAAAGTGAGAAGCGACAGTAAAATTCATTAGCCATTCAAATCACCACTAATTATTGGCATCATTCGGGCTAATAGACTGGAATCGTTGAGGCATATAGAGGTAATGAACCCGTGTGGGTTCTAGGGATCCATTGTGGGAAAAACAAGAACAGACTCACTACTTCCCCGGCAAGCATGTTGTAGGAATCAACACTGGGGGCTTCCTTTGAAAGTAGAGTGCATCTGCCTGAGAGGCAAGTAACCAACAATCTGCATAAAATAAATCAGATCTGTAGAACAGGTGTGCACACAACTCTCAGGTTCTGGAACAAGGCTGAAGTTCAGAAGTGGATGAACAACCAAAACTTTCTATCAGAGTTTACAGCTGGTACACGCAGACAGACCTACAAACAATTGAGAGTCACCAAATGGAAAGAGAAGGCCAGTCACAGAGATTAATGGAGACAGGTGATATCTGCAGCAGTGAACCTCAAGGGTTCGTAATGCTGAAGAAGAAGTGCTAAGAGTGCTGCCTATAAACATCTTAAAGTGACAAAACTGTCACTGGTCATTACTGATTCCTCAAAAATGGTAGAACCCATGCTAAAGACACAGTAGGGCAGAACTTCATCATGAATTAAATGGAACAGGGATATAAGTAACATAAACAGTTATCAGGTTCTTCTGCTACTTCTTTATTCACTCCTGAGAGGGTAATTGGTGTATTTTGTTGCGGTTTACAGCTAAACTGTGATACCTGCACCTTTTAGCCCCAAATTTTAGATCCTGTTAAAAAGCAAAGAGGTCTGTTCCCCCCCCCCCTCCCCCGCCACATAAATAGGGCTCTGGGAACCCATATAGGGAGTTATCAGGTTAGGCATTGAATTTTACAGTGATGAAGTATATGAATAGCCAGGTTTACCCATCCTTCTTCTGTGTGGTTCACACATTGTGTTATAGTTTACAAACAGGCTGTGATATCTGCGCCTATCGACCCAAAACATCTTACTTCAGTAAACCCCTAATTAGTCTCCTTCTATGACATGACATGCTTATTGGGGGCAGTAGGCCCTATTCTTTTTTCCTCTAGAACAAATATATGTTGAATTAAGAATCAACATCATAGCTCTCAGAACACTCCAATAAGCACTCCATCCCCATCTGCAGCAGCAAGCGAAGAGTTCCAATTCCGATGGTACCAGTAACTGGCTGAATGTATATCCATCTCGCCTTTTCCTTGAGTGTTGAGTGAAGGCCAAATCCCCTTTTAACTACTCTCAGCGCCGTTCTCCTCAGACTGTAATGATCTGTCTGTGCCTCCTCACTGTTCACTCGCTCCTAAATGGCTCTTACAACATCTATCTTGTCATGCATAAATTTATCACCAAGTGCTGCAGAACTGGCCAGTCTATCTGCCTGCTCATTTCCCAACACACAGGCATAACCTGGAGAAAATATCCAAAGGATACTAACTGCCGGGGATCTCTGTATTGATGCTTGTCACTCTACATGGAGCATACCTGTCTCCACCTTTCTCAGCATGCTCTGTGAGTCAGTTAAAATCACGACATGTGTGTACAGCTGATTCTCAAGCCAGCAGAAGGCAGCAGTGACTGCCTGCACCTCCATTCTCAAACTTGACGACTAAGCGTCGTCCATTTGCTTTTGCTATAAACCCTCATGCACTTAGTCTGCCCTTCAACACAAAACCATCTCTTCAGAACAGGGCCATAGTACATACCATCACAAGCTGGCATGTTGACTCCATTCCTCATTGAGTGCTGATTGGTCCATATAAATATGGGTCTAGCACCATATGGCCAATGCATAAATTGACCTAAAAGGTTGTTGTTTTTTGTCGTATTTTTTTTCTACATTTTTAAAAATGACAGTTTAGTTTTCTGTGATCTTCTAAATTTTCACAGTATCACCTGATTCACTCACTCAAGTTAGTAGTGATAGACCACTCTTTATTTATTGCAACAACAAACAAACAAAAACTTGAAAGACCAATAACATAATTTAGTTGTAAGAAATGTATGCTTTAAAAATATAATTGCAATTTTTTTGTTTGTTCAGGCACAGTGTTGTCTTCATCATCTTCAGGTTATGCATTTGTTATCTTTTTCTTTTTCACGCTCTTCTTCTTCACTTTCTCTTTTACCGTTGTGGGTGTCGAAGGAGATATAAGGTTCTGTTTCTAGCTCTTCTGGCTGCCTCGACCATAGCCACATCGTGCTGTTGTAGAGATTCTCTGATGTTATCCTTCCATCTTGTTTCACGCTCACTGGCTGTAAACTCCAGCCGAAAGCTCTGGGTCTTACGTCCACCTCCAGACTTTTAGTCTTGTTTCAGAAACTGAGTGCTGCATGCACATCCATTTCACAGATCTGGCTTATTTGTATGCAGACTTGTGGTTCCTTGCCTCTGAGGCAGATGTACTCCAACTTCGAAGGATGTCCCCAATTAGTTAACTTCTATGACGAAGCTTGTTGGGGAGGCAGTGAATCTTTTTTTGTTTTCCCCCACAATAGGGCCGTGGAACCCACACAGGGAGCATTTGTTATGAAAACAGAGATATAGCAGACTAGTATCAGAAGAAGAATTTGCTAAACTGTGCTTAGGAAGCTCATCAGAAGGGGGACAGAAAAAACATACACAGAAGCAATCAGACTTTTTAACTGAAGCCTTTATCAATGAGCACAAGAAGAAGAAGAATCCGGTCACAGAGGAGTTCCGTGGATAAAAACTGAAACGTCACTTATAAAAATGGGTTAACAAAATTTTTTTTTAAGAAATCCTTCTTGTAGTTATTCATAGTTTGGTGAATTCATGTTATGTTTTTGTTAAATCCTTACTGAATGGTTTTGGAATCTAAAAATTGTCACTCATATTCACAGAAGCCGCGATGAAAGCCACCCAGATGTCAAGCCTGATGATATTGTTGATAATTTAGCACAGTTTGTAGATAAGCTCTTACAACATTCTTTGTAGTTCTTTTCTAAGGTTGAACAAGGTATCTGCCCTGTAGGCTTGCCATCCAGATCAAGATTTTTGGAATATCGAGATGGTAAAACTTTCAGTGGTAGTCCCCGGGGGTGGGGGGGCCACAATGCATGGCAAGATTTGTGTGTGACCTCAGACTCTTTCAGACAACACGTAATTACCTCTTTTACCCTCAAGTCCCTTTAAGAACATAATATTCTTTTGTCATATCGAAAACACACTAAGTCTCAGTTCAGTATTACAGTATGCAAATAGCATAAGACAGCCTACCTTATAAGAAATACTTGATTCCTAAACAAATGAGACGCATAGGATTGTGCTTGGAAGGGAACGGAAGAAGTGAAAGAAAGGGCCAGCTTATGAATGTATGTGATTGTAGGGAAACATCGATCAGATAGACAAGATGTATGTATCAAATGGTTTGTGTTGTCAATTTTGTGTAAGCTCCCATAAATAAATAAACAGTTTTATAATTTCAGTTGAATCCATGGTGTTGTATAGTTTTGTGAGGGTGAATAAAGGGTCATCCGACTTGCTTGATGCATGACAAGTTAGATGACAGGGCTGTTTGAGAGCAGGTGAGCTATGAGAAAGCCTAAACGATCATTAGAGTATGGAGAGAATGGTGTGGTGGGGAAACGACCGGACATGTACACTGGCTATTGATGTTCATTTTTTTTGTTGTTCATCCATCACAAGTGATGAGGACCACTCTTTCTTTCATCCACCATGAAACTAGTTGAGTCCGGAGGTGGCTTAAAAGCCCAGCACAGGCCCGAAAGGATCTAGGACAGCAAGGACAGGGAACAATGGCTGTAGGTAAAGGACCTTTAATACAGGTATTTCTAGCCTGCCTGTGCTGTTTAGTTTTATGTAAAATTATCTATGAGGACATTGTGCAGATTCTTAGGCTGGATCAAAGTGGGAGCTTACTTTATTGATACAGCTTCACCTTGATGAGGACTGAACATATCTGCTAGGTTTAGGCAATGGATCAACATCATGGCACAAGGGTAGTAACCCATAAGTGTTCCATTCTACATTTGACTCAAGCCTGAGTCTGAAGAATCTTAGCGCAGTGCACAAACTCTGTAGTACCGGCGAGTATCCTGAAATCCTTAGGGTAGATTGTTAACTCCAAATTGTGGTGTGTCCAGGCAGCGCTGTTAGGCTACTCTTTTCGATTTCCAACTGCCAAAGGATGTTTTTATGTCTGCAACAATACACATGGGCATCTGATCTTACTACCCAGAGACCAGGGGAAATTACTAGAAGTCCATGTGAAAAATCCAATTGTGTGGTGAGGATCCAATCATGGGGATATTGTGTGGTGAGAATCCAATCATGGGAATATTGTGTGGTGAGGATCCAATCATGGGGATATTGTGTGGTGAGGATCCAATCATGGGAATATTGTGTGGTGAGGATCCAATCATGGGAATGTTGTGTGGTGAGGATCCAATCATGGGAATGTTGTGTGGTGAGGATCCAATCATGGGAATATTGTGTGGTGAGGATCCAGTCATGGGAATTTGTGTGGACGAGATCCAATCATGGGAATGTTGTGTGGTGATGATCCAATTATGGGAATATTGTGTGGTGGAGATCCAATCATGGGAATATTGTGTGGTGAGGATCCAGTCTCTTCTATACTGTGACTATCATACCACTATACGAAAGCCATGAGAATAGTTTTATTAATAATAAATTATATTATGATTACCCATTAAGCAAGCTGGCTGGTTGTCTTTTTTTTTTTCTTCATATATTTAAGCTGAGCTAATTTTTTTAAAAATTTCTGTTGACTTTAATTCACTTTTTTTAAATATACAGTGCTGAGGTTATATCCTTTCCAGGGCATTGTTCATTATGTTTAGACACCAGCAGATTTCTGCTGTGCGAATGGCTAATTTGTCTAACTTTAGTAAGTAAGTTTGCGTTCAAACCATGAGACTTCAGAGAAATCTTTCAGTCCCAGGGGTTTAGCATCAGAGACCCAAGGGGTAGTAAAGAAAAATCTAAAATCATCATGTCTTGCGTCCAGTGGGCTTCTTGGTAGGAACCTATGCACATATAATGCTTTCCTTGGACTGGAAGAGTTAATAAGGTTGCATAAGTACAGGAGCAACACCGGTTCAGTCCTGCCTATACTCAGGAATGAACTCTAGGCAATTAAGTAAGGACACTAACCATAGCACAATCAGTGCTGTCTAGAAGCATATGATGAACTGTAAAAGTGTATGTACAAATGTGAAGAATGATATTCCAAGTATAATTATAATAATAAGATTGTGATTAAAAAAACTGAACTGAAAACTTGGAGTTCAGCAGTTTACATTTTATTTGTTTTGATGAGTTTTTCTTGTGAATACAAGTTTGTACAAATGCAATGAGCATACCCCCCCCCCCCCCCCCCCCCCCCCCCCCCCCCAACAAACAAACTAAATGCCAAACCAAAATGTATGTAGTTACTTATGTGCGCAAGCATGTGTTCATGTGTGTGTATAAAGACGGGGATGTGGCGACAAGAGAACTTTTTTCTTGCTTCTGTCTGCATCTCCATGTGCTTCTGTTATCTTAGTGGTCAATTTTTTATTTTTATATTTTTTTTTAAACTGGAATACCTAGTTAATCAAGGAAGGTGAGTAATTAGATTTGTGCACTGGTATGTTTATCCTTCTCATAAGTGAGTTGCTTATCCTTTACAGGATGTTTCAGAACCAACCCCAGCATTTTTTGCCTGTTGTGGTTTTGCTAGGCAAATTTTACGTTCAGTAGTTTGTCACTGCTTACTGAACGGTCAGCTTTCAGTACCACTGTTGAAACCAACGCAAGACAGATTGGAACTCAAGTGTGGGGGGAGGGGTGTAAGAGCAAAGAAGAGGAGGGCAAAGAAGATCCTGGAATGACAAAATCCAGAAGTACTTATTCATCAAGCGGAAGACGAAAACAAATGGCAGGTTTTATGTGCTAGTGCTTCCATCCATACACCTCCTAACAGGTCAATGGTTATGTTATGTGTAAATATAATATAAACACACTGAAACTACAGCTAGTTCACTGTTATTTCTAATAATAATGATAGAAACAATGCAGAAAAAATGATTAATCTCAAAGAAAGAATGTTTGAACACTTCAGTAATGTGGAAAGCACTGAAAAGGTAAAATTAAAGTTTCTAAATGACTTTCAATAATGTGGAAAGCACTGTAAAGTTAAAATTAAAGTTTCTAAATGACTTTCAATAATGTGGAAAACACTGTAAAGGTAAATTTAAAGTTTCTAACTGATTTTCAACTTTCCAACTCTATGGCTTTGTTTTCTTTGTCTATGGTACTTTATATTTTGCATACACATCCCTTTCACAGTGTAAAAAGATACTGGAATTCCAGCATCATCTTTACTGTTTTTCAAATGCTTAATCTTATGTCAGAAAATATAACAGCCTCACTCACTCTCTCTATTGAAATTGCTTATAATTTGTTGCTTCTTCAAGGAGGAAAGATCAAGATAAGGGATAAAGAAAGAAACGAAAACGCTTAACTCAACTCAAACTAAGCAGACTTGAACATTTAGATAACATCATAAAGGAACTGTCAGTGTAAAATTGTGGTTCCTAAATTTGTACACACATTCTAACTCTTTGGCTTTGTTTTCTTTGCCTGTGGTACCATACTCCCATCAAAAGATACTGGAATTCCAGCATCATCTTCGCTGTGTCTCAGACCCTTCAACTTGCCATGAAACTTGACATTCACCGGCTCTGTACCAGCACCCAGCTCCAGATTCTCTGCTATTGTCTTGAAAGCTGCAGTCAGCATGCCACCTTGGAACCTCACAGGTATTTCATGCTCACCTTTCCTGTCTGCTTCAGTGAGCAGGGTGTCCAGTTTCTCTGGTGTGATCATTAAACCATCAAAGTACACAGGTGTCAGCATTGTGCCTTCAAATCGGGCTGGGATCTCTTTAGGCTGGTACATATCTTTGACAGCGTCAGCTTTCAGTGTCTGTATGCTGCGTGTTTTGAATGTTTTCACTGATGATCGTGGTGTCCCCGGCTGTGTGCTTGTGCTCAGAGCTTCTTTAAGCAGTTCTTCGGTTAAATTCTCTTCAGAATGTTCAATTTTCTTGCTTTCTGCTTTATGAAGACTTTCTTTACTCTCTTTGGAAGACATTATTTCAGAAGATGCTGATGAAGACAGACTACCTACAAGAGTGACTTTTACAAAAGACTCAACACTCTGAACTTTCTTAGAGTCCATTTCTTCATCTTGCTTCATAATTACGCCATCAACAACAACCAAGGTCTTGATGACATTGTATTCTGATTGATCCAGTTTTCTTTTAGCAAATTCCACAAAGTATCTCTTGCTCCCTACAAGAAATGAAGTTTTGTATCTAGATATGATTTAAGTCATGAAAAATTTCCTACATGACTAAGAAGAGTAAAAAAACCATGCACCCGCCCTTAAGACCATCTGGCATATGACATTGGCACACTGTGTTGTGATTTGCAGCTAGGCTGCAATATCTGTGCCTTTCAGTTCAACACATCCAATTTCAGCAAACCCATAATGAAACACCGTTTTTGACACATTTTCTAGGCGGCAGTGGATCCCCCCCCCCCCCCCACCCTTAGGGGTCCTGGACCCACATGGGCAGTTCTACTGGTCTGATAGCGGATAGACAAAGCAAGGCATAAGCCATTACTATATCCACTTTAGTAGAATCTCAGCTTGGTGTGATTACACACCTTGAAATTATTTAGGGCAGCAGTTTTGAAACTTTCTGAAGTCTATGACTCTCCTATTAAATTCTTTGTGTAGCTTGCCTGTGGGATAAGTGGCAATTACTTGACGTATAGGCTACCTTTCTTTCTTGGTATTCATAATATGCATATTATTACATGAACATAACATGCTTTATTGATAAAATACAACTGCTGTGTGAAATATGGGTGTTTGGAAGGGCCGAATTGAAGACAGGCATGTGTGCCTAATTTTGTATCCTTTGAAAATAAAGTTTGTGCGTTCGTTCTTTATCTAAACTTTCACCAGATGCAAACAGCGGGAAAAGTTCTGGTTGTTCATCTGCTTCTGGACTTGCAGGCTTGTTCCTAAACCTGAGTTTTGCATACACATCCCTTTCACAGATTGTTTTACTTGTATGCAGACTGTTGGTTCCTCACATCTCAGGCAGATGCACTCTTGACTTCATTTCCGTTTTTTTTCTAAAGAAAAAAAAACATATCACTTTCAACCAGCATCCCTAAAGGGGTAGCTTTATGTTATAATTGTGACCAGGTTATGTGCATCATATAAAATGGCTTAGCATTGCTCACCACCAAGTAGCACTAAAAAGAACTCTTGTGTTGATGAAGCGATCCAAGGGAGACAGACCCAAATACTGTCCCAATCAGTGATGAAGTCGTCTACCGGACAGCCAATGGGCGACCCGGTCACTGATGTGATGTCTCTGACTTCAAAGGAAACACCCTTAATTAATAACCTTTTAAGACATGCTTGTTAGAGAGGCAGTGGGTCTATTCTTTCTTCCCCAAAAATGGGGCCTATGGAACCTTCATGGGGAAGCTGTGTGATTATCCGGGGAAGCTGTGTGATTATCCGGGGAAGCTGTGTGATTATCCGGGGAAGCTGTGTGATTATCCAGGGAAGCTGTGTGATTATCCAGGGAAGCTGTGTGATTATCCGGGGAAGCTGTGTGATTATCCACTCTGAACATCTCAGAACCTATGACTCTCCTAGCCTTATTACCTTCTTTCTACAGCTGGTCTCTGGGATAAGCAGTAACAACTTGACATACAGACTTACCTTCTTTTAGCAAGGAAGCTTTTGGAAAGCTTTTATAAAAGGTAACTCACAATTATAAAAACAAATACAATATGCTATAAAAATTACACAAATTAATAAAGTACTTCTTGACAACCTGTACATGGAAATAAAACAGCACCAATACAGTATTCTTTTATATATATATATATATATATATATATATATATATATATATATATATATATATATATATATATATATATATATATATATATATATATATACTGATTTTATTTACAGTTAAAAAAGCTTATTGGCCTCTGTGGCTTAGGCACAGAAAACATGGTTTGTAACTGAGATACTGAGTTTGATTATAGCTGTAGCAACACACCCCCTTGGGTTGATTTCAACAATGATATCGAGAGTCCACCATTTAGGAAACAAACGGTAAACTAATGAACGCAACATATTCCAGTAAAATCAAGAACTACCAAAAATGCTGGGATTGGTTCTACAACATCCTATGAAGGATTTGCAGCTAACTAACATAAAGTCCAGTCACAGTTCCCTTGACTATACAGAAAATCTTAACAACAAAGATGCTTACATGTCTAGCAGTGACAAAATAAAACAAACTGTTAGAAAACAAGTTAGTTAAACACAAAAAGTATAAGTAACTGTGGACAAAGTGATATTAAAAGTATCACCTATTGAGTGTCGACTGGTTTGTTAAAAATCATGGAACTAAAAACGTGCTCAATGTGCTTCAAGGCTTGAAAAATGATTCTTTTCATAGAGTGTCTAACTAAATAGGTGTTGAAGCATTGAATAGACGTCCATGTAATACTATATATATGCAAGGCAGATGGGGCTCATTAGCTAGGGACAGCAGTCCATCTAAGGAAGCTCATTGTAAAATAAAAAGCATGCTAAAGTCCAAGGTACTAGGCTGAAAGGTGTGAATAGCCAGAAAGATGTCACAGCCGAACTTAAAACTACAGAACTTTGCTATTCCTCACTATCATGCCAGTATCTAAATATAAGAATGATGGGTGTGATGTTGAAAACTGGCCAAGCAGGCACAGTACAGGGCTCTCCCCCTCGAAGGGGTCTAAACCAATTTCAGATGTTTCCTCTGCCTCAATTTGGGCAGCCAGAAGATCAGTGCAGAGAGAAACTAAGTTGTCAGGAACAGTGGAAGACATGCGTTGCACCACAGACTTCATAGAGGCCCGTGGCTTTCTCATGAGAAAATCACTAGCAGGGAGAATTATGTGAAGACAATTTTTTTTACATGAACCACTTTGTGGCCCAATTTACCGTTACAGTTAAAGTTTTTTTTTTCAGGATGCCTCAATCCAGCACGTTTATATTGGCTGTTGTGTGGTGTCACTGGACAATTTTACATTTAATGGTCTGCCACTGTTTCCTTAATGGTATGACACTTATACCATTAACTGTTGGCGGCTAGATGCTCCTCTGTGGATCTAAAGGTTGTGGGTTCAAATCCTAATGTAGCCAGACATATTTCAAAAATGACCTTGGCTCCCCAGGTCAACCCAGCCTTAAATGGGTACTTGATAAAGTCCTGGAAAGTCCTGTAAATATGCTGACCATATCACCCAGTGAGTGCTGATTGGTCTATAAAATGTAGGTCTAGCTCTATGTGCCCAATATGCCTAAAAACGTGAAAAAGGAGTCTTTTACTCACTTATACTATTGTTAAAATAAATTCAAAAAGCATTACCGAATTACCATTAGCTGATTTAAAAACCCAGTATGTCGAGATTTTGAACCTATGTTGAATATCCCCTAAGCCAATGATTCCAGGGGCGCCGCAAAATATTGTAAAAGCTTCATAATAATTTTAACCAAGACACAAATAGTCATACTTTTACTTAGGTTAAGGCGCCATGGAAAAACTTTTTTAATTAAAATAAGGCCCCGCGACTAAGAAAAGTTAGGGAAATACTGCCCTAAGCCCCAGACATTCACAGATTTACTACTGAGAGTAAGGTACCATTGTGGTGTTCAGCTGTGAACCAAATTTAATTTGCTGGTGATAGGTAAATTAATGATTACTCATAACTAGAGCCAAGCTAACTTATTTAACAATGAAGAATAGATTTTGTAGTCTTTAACTGACTGAATTCCTGTCAAATTTGTTTGTAAGAAACATAAAACAACATAAATAACAAAGTACAGTAATATTTCCAAAGAAAAGATCAGATCTCTGATACTCTTTCCCAATGAAAAAGTAATATGACCAGAATGAGCAAGGAAATAAAATATCATGAAATCGCAAATGTTAGAATTATAAAGAACATTTTGTAAATACATTAATCCATGTAAAAAAGATATTGTCTTTAAAATGCAAAGTAAATTTATGCAAATGCCAATATCTGATTAAAATGAATATTTTTTAAAACATCATATGCTGAATGTTTTAAATATATTTTAGGTTCATCTACTGCAAATTACTTAATTCATGTTGTTCATATACTGACTGTGTCTTACTACATCTTATTTTCATATATTGAATATTTCTTAGTACATCTTAATTTCATATACCATATTTCCCTAAGTAAAAGACAATTAGCTTCTTTAGCTTAGGCGCTGCGAATGTGCTTCGTTATGCCGGGTTTTATCCCAACTGCGGCCCTTGCGCCTTGCGTTGGTTTCGACAGTGGTATCGAGAAGCCAACTGTCCAGAAAGCAATAGCAAACTACTGGACGCAAATTTCCATAGAAAAACCACAACAGCCAAAAAATGCTGGGATTGGTTCTGCAACGTCCTGTAAAGGATACGCAACTAACTTGTAAGACAATTCCCATGTATAAGTTGCCCTTTAAATTTGGACCGGTAATTTTGAAAAGAAATTATATGATTACGTAAAGGTATTGAACTCATGTTTTGTTAATAACAAAATCCAGAAAACCTCATCGCTGTCAAAACTCTCATCCATACGATTATTCTTTAGCTTGTCCTAGTCTGTATCTGATAACAAATCACAGACTCATCCTCAGTTCCATCTGGGGCATTTGAAATGCCAGACTTCTTGAATGGCTTGACAACAAGCTCAGTCTTCACATTATCCCAGGATCTTTTCTGCTAGGTACAAACTTCGCGTAAAGTTGGTTTCTTAACCACTTCTTGCTGGTGTCATACTGAACGCCTGGAAGACTTCATTCATTGGTTCCATCAACTCCCATGGCAACTTTAAAGGGTTTGTTAAATCTGACATCAAGTGGCGGAATCTTAGCGGACACTGGAGTTCCTAATGTAACGAGTGAAAAATAATGAGGGCACAGACAAGCGCAAAATCTATTACAACCGAAAAGAACTTTTAATTTTATAATTAAATAATATGCCGCCCCTGAGCTGACATTCCCAATTGAGGCCTTGTGTGGGATATTTTCTAATAAATCAATGGGTAAAAATCTACTACTAATACAATTCTTCTTTCCCTCCCAAAATAGAGTCCCAGAAACCCCATGGGAATGATGGTAGACAAACAGTACTCATATTCTGCACCACTCATAAGATTCCTAATCAACCAGTCTAAAGGACTAAGTTAATAAACAAGGTTAGTAACGAATTCATTAACGCAGGCCCGGTGGTGAATTGAAAGTAGAAATTAAAATTAAAAAAAAATGAAAAGCAACCTGAAAATAATATAAGTTACCTATGGCAGGTTCTCCTGAAGCATCAGTTAACTCTAAAACTGATGAGGTTGTAAAGAACAACAGTTGAAATATTAATAAAACATTAGTCACTGATACAAAAAGGGCAATGCTGATATCAGGCGGAACAATAAAGCTCATTGTTTTGTTTTTTAAATCAACAATGCAGCGTCTGTGGCTTAGGCATTATGAATGCGACTCGTAATTCCAACATACCGCGATCAAAACCCACTGCTAGCTTCATGAATTGTTATCATGGTACGGGGCGTCGCAGGTCGAACCAGCCTAAAATGGGAACCAGGATGTATGTGCTGGGGGAAGTAAAGACAGCCTGCATAATGCTGACTACATTTCCCACCTAGTGCTGATTGGTCTATAAAAATATGGGTGCTCTTCCCATTTGCCCGATGTGCCTAAGGCGTTAAAAAGGGATCTTTACTTTACTTAAATCAACAATGTGTAGTAATCATGCAACTGAACAAATAAGTGAGTTAATTACCCCCCCCCCCCCCCCCCCCCCCCCACCCCCTCCCCCCCCATTTATCCCAAACACTCTATGGATGGTGCAGTCATATTCATGCTTGCCAGTCTCAAAAATAAAACAGAAAGCGAACCCTTGAGGCCGTAGAAATATATTTAGAATAAACAAACAGACAATGTATTGATAGGCACACAGAGAGAGAAGGATATACTTGGTTAGTTAGTTGCGTATCCTTTACAGGACGTCGCAGAACCAACCCCAACATCCCCTGGCTGTTGCGTGGTTTTTAGGCAAATTTACATCCGGTAGTTTGCCATTGCTTTCTGGACGGTCGGCTTTCTTGATACCACTGTCGAAACCAACACAAGGCACATGGCCCGCAGCTGGGATCGAACCCGGCATCCCGGCATTATGAAGCGCTCGCATCGACTTAGCCACAGAGCCGACAAAGGATATACTAAACAAACAAAAATCTAAAGCTATAGTAACGGTACCGGGAATCAAACCTGTCACTTTTAAATGTTTGCTATTCGACCTATGGTTGGTTAATATAAATTTATGTTACCTAAGGTGTCATTTCAATGGTCTGAGATAAATTCTGTCTATATTCCATATTCTGGATTTCAAGCTGTACGAAAGACATGGCCAAAGAAGACATCTTTATTGGGGTGCCTAGTTGGTCATGTTCTCAGTACACTTGTTTCCACAGTACATGCCATTTTGAGGTGGAAGGTTCTATTTCCGGCCTGAAACTATAGCTTTGATTTTTATGTTGTCTATTGAGTCCTTCTATCTTTCTACTTCCTTCTGTGAGGCCGATCAATACATTGTCTGTTTAGTGTGTTCATATATATATATATATTATATATATATATATATATATATATATATATATATATATATATATATCTACGTATTTATGTGCAGACTGTTGATTCCTCACCTCTCAGACAGATGCAATCTGACTTCAAAAGAAACACCCCTAATTAGTGTCCTTTTACTGGTACTATTTACCACCCCCACCCCCCTCCTAAGCTGGACGATGGAATTGACAGAGGGAGGATGTATGAATAATGAATAAAAAATAAATATTCTTTGCTGTTACCAGTGTCCCCAGGAAGAAAATTACAGTAACACGGCACCCTACCAGCACCTGTTGATAAATGGTGACTATGGGTAGGGTTGGGCTTTGGGTTGGCTACCTAATCCCGTAAAACACTAAGCCAAAGTTAGAAATAATATCTCGCCAACCAAGATAAGAGGCTCTTCTAGTCTAGGAAATACGACATGGTGCAGAGAAAACCAAAAGGAGTCTAATCACAAAATACACGTAGAAGGTAGCTAGAGAAAGAAATAAAAAAGATGGAGAGAACATAAGGTGAGCTGTATGCAATAGCAAAGAATAGGTTGACTTCGCCTGTTGTTTGAGGGTTTATGCTTCACTAGGAAATAAAGGGCGGTAGAAGGGGAAAAAAATGAATATTTTGACTTCATTTTTGTTTGGCAAACCCAAGATCTGGCTTTTTTCCAAGTCTTATTAAAATTACATTTGGCACATATGTGTTTTAAATTTAATCCACAATAATCACTGATAAAATGGCAGGTTAAAAGCTATAGATAGATGTCAACAAGGAAAGAAAATAACAAAACCTTTCATTCAGAGCGGTGAAAGGTTAATATGTATGTAAATATGACATATTTTTAAAAAGTGCATGTAAAGACATTTCTGTTTAACAGAATATTTTCCATGAATTAGAAGAACTTTAATCCAAGACAATATTGCAGCAACAGTTACAAGTCACAAGCAAATTTTTCAGTCTGCTGTAACAAAACTTGGAATTATATAACTTTAAGCATATAACAGCTAGTTATTACACAAAATCAGACTATGTGACTGTTGTCTGGCTAAGGGATGATGAAAGTCTGTGTGTCCCCTAAGATGACAGTTTTATACTGGAGAATATTGCCAACTTTAGCTTTACCAGTTTTCCATCACCATCACAGTGCTGATCCTGCGTAAAGAATTTAATTCACATATGTAAAAAAAAATATATACATAGATACACGTGTGCGCATGCACACACAGTTGTATAATCATATGCACAAATACACATACATAAAAATAAACACATATATACATGCTGTCTGATACTGGACAGTTCCCTGTCAAGGATTCCACTTTAATCTAAAGAAGGATGATGGTTTTTCTTCCCACGACCAACACAGGTGTTAATTAGCCTCAGATTGGGACCATTTCTGGTTCTTTTTTCCCTCCTAGGCTGTTACCTCAAAGTCTGACAGCCCTGAGATTACAAAAGCCTCATTCAGGGTGGCAAGCCAAGAAGGGAAATCAGTTCAAATTCCAAAGAAGTTAAATGGGGGACCTGTATTAGCCACAAAAGGCTGGTACAACCTGTAGTCCTGTACAGGTAAGGATTATGATTAGGTACCAGACAATTTTAAGACTTTTCTGTGAGGGACAAATGAGTAAGAAACTGGTCAAACCCAAACCACCCTCCCCCATGTATCATGGGATAGAATATATGAATGAATTAAACATTTCAAATCCCGATGTTAGAACCCTACCCTGTATAAGGAATCTAGTTTAGCACTCACTGTGGGCAAAAATATGTGCCTTCTTAATAAATAGCAGATTCTTCTTATATGCCAGATTCTTCTTATATGCCAGATTCTTATTTTACGCCAGATTATTCATATATGCTAGATTCTTCTTCTTCTTATTAACATTCACTGACTGTAAACTTTGGCTAAAAGTTCTGGTTGTTCCTCCTTTGTGGATTTTAGTTTTGTTTCAAATCTTGATTTTAGCATGCATTTTACATTAGTTTTTCTGTAAGCAGACTTTTGGTTCCTCACCTCTCGGGCAAATGCACTCCAATTTAAAAAAAAAAAAGCCCTAATTAGGCGGAATTTATGACATGCCTGTTAGGATGCAGTGGGTCTTTAAACCCTCCCCCCAAATGAGACCCACCAAATGAGACCTCTGAACCCACACGGGAAAGGAAATGTCTCAAACAAAAAGTATAGAAAGAAAAACACTTCTGAAATGAATAACACAATATTTTTTAACATTGAAAAGTGCAAATAATTATGTTGTAAATAATTACTTGGATGTGCTCGAACAGCTTCATCTATTACTTTGGCCACAAAAGACACATTCCTTGATGTTAGACCTGCCAGGCTGATCCGCCCACTCTTCAGTAAGAAGATGTATTTGCTTAGTAAGTACCTCACTTGTTTTTCTGGGAAATCAAAAACAACTTCCTTTATAAATGGAATTGACTGTGAACCCTGCGTAACATATAAACAGCAAAATAGGATGATGATGATGATGATAAAGAACATAATCTGAAGAGTCCTCTACCATACATTTTTATGTATTTAACTTTCTATAATGAAACCAGATTTTTCTGAAAGATTACTTCTGCTAGTTTGTGTTTTATTTTACTTTTTAAATATGGCTATAATAAAGTGAGTAGAAATAATGAATATGACAATTGAGCTGTAATTTACCTGTCAGTCCTGTAAAACTAAACATTCCTATCTGTTTGGTAATGTGGTCCCAGTTGCCAGGGGTACCAAGCTTTTTAAGATTATTTACAAGTTCCTGTCGCATATTCTTGATGCGGTTAGACATGTTGACAATCTGCCCTCTCCTGTAATATAAAAAATGAACGCTTCATTACAGATACATTTAATAAAAAAAATAAAGGGAAGGCTTATTCTGGAGTAACAAAGGTAACAATCCAAAACTGTATAATATTCAGAATGAACCAAGCATATTAAACGCTGAGGTAAATTTAAAAAAGGGCTGTTTTAAAAATGATGGAAGCACTAGAAAGCTGCAGGCCTTGACACCACTAGCAATGGAATTATTTTCATCTTTGAAACTGATAATATGAGGGGTAGTCAATAAGTAAGTCCCAAATGGTTATGGGATGGCAGAAAAATGTAGTTGGTGATTTCTAAAGGTGTCATAAAGTGATAGCAACATTGAACTTTATGTCTCCATTTGTTAGGTGTCGCATGCGCATTGACAACACTGAAACAAAATCACGACTGTACTAATGGAGTGTACCCTCAAAAACAACATGCTGTTGTGCATTTTATGGGATAAAATGGACATCCTTCAGATGAATGCTCCTTATATCTTTTTATGTCTTCTTGCCTGAATCATGTCTTGCACACAGAGTAGCAAATAATAATCAAGGTCCCCACAGTTCGCATAGACACATAAAGGCAGTGATGCACTTTCCTTTATATGCATACAAAATCAGTGGTTCTGTCCTTGCTTAACGATCTGAATAAGGACAACTTTTACTTTTTTATTTCTAGAAAGGAAGTTCAGCTCTTGTGTTCATTAATTTTTTCAGCAACTGTAAGAATTCTCAAGTATCCCTTTCTGATTTTCCATGTCATTTTGTTTGAAACTGACATGCAGCCTGTGAATCATCATCATCATCTACTGTGCTGTTTATATCACATAAGGCTCACATGGCTCCATTCTGTACAACCTGTTTAGTATCATAGATAGAATCCACTACAGCATCTTTGGCATATGTCATTTTTTGTAGGGTTTCTCTTGGATATTCTTATTTCCTCAATCCAGCTGATTCTCATTTCAGAATCTGTTTATGATTTGCTGATTTGGTTCAGATTTTTCTCTTATTTTTTTCAACTTTTTTTTTAAAGTAACTGTTAATGTAATGGGGGATATTTTCACCCAGATTGGGAAGGTTGGGGGGAAAGCCCCGAGCTAACAATAATACAGAGAGAAGCCAGATACTCGGATTAACTGAGGTTTTCAAGATAGGTTACGACCAGGAGTTATCATGTGGAACCCGATTATGGCGACCACAGGTCGCCACGTGGAACCCAAGAACAACCACGTGTTGCCACGTGGAACGAACACTGGGTATAAGTCCAGACCCCAGTCTGATCAGTTAGTATGTGTTGACCGTCAGAGCAAAAGGACGTGATAGTGTTCGGGAGAATGACAACGTGAGACTGATTGTTGAGAGAGGAAGACCAGACGACAACATCCATCGAAGCCAAGTCCAGCCTGTGTGAAGTCTGCGGTAACAACCAGATCCATCTATGCGACGATGTGGAAGTGAAGGCGCCAAACTCTGATCGATGAATGTGTGAGAAGTCAGCGTGTTGCGTCTGATAACTGTGGTGCGTGTAAGCTGTAAATTAGGACACGGACAGGACATTTGATGTAAGTGATGAGATGTTAATAAACTGTTTCATACTTCAAAGTCGGTGTCGGCTTGTCCCAGTTATGTCATCGTAAGAATGTAGGCTAAGAGCATTCACTAGACACATCATCTCCTAGACGACAAGCCTAAGGTCATCAACTGCTCACAGCTTAGTACAAGCGACTTATTGCAGTTAACATCTTGTTAATAGTTCATCTAACTGTTTCACCCACCATATCCACTAACAATATAACTTAGACAAGGTTTCAACTTCACTGCAATCAGGTCACTCCCTACTTGCTCCATTCCTGTGCCAGTGAAAATCAAATGAAATGTTCCTTGCTGTCAAATTTGAAAAATAGAACCATCACAATGCACATAATTTCAATCACTGCATTTTAATTTGTACACAAATACTTAACAAGGTGTTGTTAAAATACAAATGTTTACCATTCCTCATAATAAACTTTATTGTTGAGAATCGTGGCTACAATTCGAGCTCCATGATTTGCTGGGTTTGACCACATTATTCTAATCTGAATTTCCATTTGACTTCGAATTTCCGGAAGCTTAGTCTCATCCTTTGACACAACAATTAAATTGCCAACTCTTTCATCTGGAAAAATAAGACATTTCAACATTACTGCTAGAAAAATATGTGATCTGTAACATCTTTATATTAGACTTACTGGCTTTTCATATGCCCACAACATCTAGTATTAATTATGGTTAATTTAGCAGTTGAAATGGCAAGAGAATGAAAATAGCTGTTTACCGCTCTACCTATGTACCAGTGCTGACCTATGGGTGTGCGTCATGGGGAATGACAACAGCTCACCTGAGCCAGCTTCAGGCCTCAGAAATTAGATACCTGAGAAAGGTGGTCCAAGTGACAAAAAGGGACAATCAGACAATATGTCAAGGTCTTGATACCCAGTCCTTATAAACCCGAGTGGATCAGTCACAGCTATGATTGTTTGGTCATGTATGCAGAATGGGAGAAAATCGGCCACCATGGCAGGAATGGGAGACTAAGAAACAGGGAACCAGACCTCCAGAGCGACCCAGAAGACAACATCCGACAGTACCTAACTGACATAGGACTGGAATGGAAAGAAAACTGCAGATAGAAACGTCTGGCGATCTCTCTGGCAAACCTCTAGACTCCAAGGTAGAAGAGGAGTGACTAAGTAAGTAATTTAGCAGCCTAGTTTTAAATACTTAAATAAAACATTTGAAATGTTACATACAACTTATTGTTACCTTACTGGCTTTAGTTGTAAATTAAAGGATTAATCTATCTGAATTTTTCTTTCAGGCTTCTACCCAAGGTTTGACACTTGTGACACTTAGAGCTGCCCCCTAGATGCCAATCCAACAAGCTAAATCTGTGATACCTTAATCAACCTCCTAAAAGGTTATAATTAGGACGCCCATAAGGATAACACCGTGGGTACCCTTTTAGTCAAAATATAACTTCTTCTTCTGCCTTTCTAACCCCCAATGGAGTATAGGCCTTCAACCAACTCACGCCAAGTCGTTCTATCCTTCACTATCGTATGCAGTGCTCCCCATGTCCTTCCTGTCATTTTAACTTCACTTTTAAGCTCCCTTCATGTGTTTTTTGGTCTTCTTGTATTGCTATGCCCGTGGGTTCCAGTGCAAAGACATTCAAGTTATATTGTTCTAAGGTTTTTTTTATAATTATTAATTTCTTTCGGGAAGCAACACAAAGGCAAACCAGTCATAAACTAACAGTTTACTATCAACATTGTATAATCATTCATGTGTCTTGAAAATATAGGAATGTTTGATCTAATAAAGTCACTAAAATTACTTTAATGGTATCATTAATTCTTTCAATCCCAGAAGGGTATTGTTGAGGGAATAAGGTCACCAAAATTATAATTATAAGTAAGTCTTCTGCTTTCACAGGTACCAAGTGCACATCTTTAGTAGGAAGCAAAGTCCTCAGAGTTCTTCTTTTATACTGCCAAAAACTACTTGCATTTAACCACTTTTGCAATGCAGCCTGAGAATTTTAGGAGACCTGGCTACAGCTGTCGCCACAGACTGCAGGTTAGGATTTTTTTTTTCCCCCCAACAGAAAAATCCATGACCATACCGAAGATTCAAACCTGGGTCTACCATATGAGAGCTCAGCTTTTTTAGCCGTTACCAAATCACCTTTAGCTGGGATGGAACCCGACATCTCAGCATTACGAAGCGCATTCACAACACCTAAGCCACAGATGCCAACCACTCTCTGCTTCCTTATGCTAAACTTAAGATGTACAAACATAACTCATTGACTGGTACACTTTCTGGTAACATTAGGTATTATCTATAAGTTAGAAAACCAATTTATTTATGTTGTCTTTGTGCATATTTTTTCTTCTATGTAATTTCACTTACTGTACAGTCCAAAATTCTTGGAGAATGACTGGGCAATGAACATATCAATATCTTGATCAGCAAAATAGCGCACTGCCCAGGCATCGCTATCTAAATTCCCACTGGCAAAACCTTGGTACGCACAGTCCATCAGTACAAACAATTTCTTTTCCTAAAGAAATGAATACACATCACAAATAGTATGAGGGCACAAGAAACCAATCTATCTATCTCCTTTTACCCCACCAGGACATCACACAAGTGATAAACACCCAATGACACAAAGTGCCACTATGTGGACGAGGATCACCTGTGGAGAGGTCCCAGAAATCGCGTTCAGCCATTAGACCATATTTATGGTCGGGCTATATTGCGGCACCTGGCAAGAGCCAGAGTAGGGCTTCAATTAACAAAAAAATTTCATCCCAAAGGGGATGACAGGATTATACACAAGAAACCAAGCAAATGTAAACTAACAAACAAATCAGGTTAAAAAAAAACACATGCAAAAAAACAAGGAATACAAAGTCTAATTAAGGTCAGTTTAAACCCCCCCCAAAAATAGGATAAGTGTGGCAGCTGAAGGGTTTTGCACTTTAACATCAAGGAGCCAAGTGATGCTAACCATAGACCTTCTTCACATTTCATCTCCCAAAGCAGTGTATTTATCTAAATCTTTTGTTTACCCTCCCCAATTCCTGACTGTAAAACTCTCTGCAAAAACTTTGATTTTTTCGTACACTTCACAAAGATACCAGCTGGATATTACAGTATACAGTTTTTACCCATGTTTTTTTTCAGAATTTCCACCTAACCAGTTTGCTATATGTTTTACTGCCATATCTGGCTGCAGACGCTAGCTTTCCTATTTGTGATACAATCTCTTCTTTTTACTCTTAGTGTTCACTGACTGTCAACTCCAGCAGATAGTTCTGGTTGTTTGTCTGCTTCTGGACTTTTAGGCTTTTTCCCGAACTTCAGTTTTGCATGCACATCCGTTTTACAGATCTGGCTTATCCTTAAGCAGGCTACTGGTTCCTCATATCTCAGGCAGATGCACTTGACTTTGAAGGAAACTTCCCTACTCAGTCAACATTTACAATATACCTGTTAGTGGGGCAGTGAGTCTACCCCCTCCCCCCCCCCCACTTTTTCCCTCACAAAATGGGAACCACACGGGAATGGGATAGAATGAAACATATCTCTGGAAATTAAAAACCAAACTCCCTTGATGAAACCTCCTTCCAAGGGGAGAAATCACAAACAAACTTAAGATAGAAAATTAGACAAAGAGGAACAGGGGCAAATAAAATAAAAACACAGATGCTGCAGAGCACTAGGAAACTATGGAAAAAAAAGTAATTTTAGTACCAAAACTTGGAATTTTCAACTTATGTCAAATCACTTTTATTATGTTGATTACAAACATGGAGAACAATTAATATAATTATAAATAAAATACAAAACTTCATTAACTGATACCTGTGCAGAATGAATGAATTAAACTGAATGAAAGAATCACTAATGAAGAGTTCTGGGAGAGACCTAATCAGTGAATCAAGAAGTGGGGAAAAGACAATTGTAATGAATAGGACATAAACTGATAAAATCTGACAATAGCAAAACTAGGATGTCCTTTCACTGGAATCCATAAGCCAAAGGAGATAGAGGGAAATCTAAAAACACATTCAGAAGAGAATCAGAGACATATATTAAAACAAAGAGAGGTCATGTATGACTTCACTGGATATTATGAAATAATGAGGCTGTCTGGTTTGAGTTGGTTAAGTGTTTATGCTCAAAAAAGAAGATTAACCCTCCCTTTGGAGACGGAGATCTTCTTTGGAGTTTCAGTGCCAAGAAGATGGAGCCTTCAAGAGATGATTCTTTAAGTTTACACACACACAATTTTTTTAAAATAAAATAAAGCATCTAATTAATATTTACAAAACTATTTATATTCTTGTAGGAAATTGAATGAACTAACACAATCTTTATGAATCACACTGATATACCAACATTTATTTAATTAGCTATCGAATTTGCATTTTTATGCATGAAATTTGTTAACTACAAAAGGACAAACATGGCTAAATTGAACAAACTAGCTAAATTTTTTGATGAATAAAGCCTGAATAAGTCCTAATTTTTTTAATTTTGAGAAGCAAGGCCCAAGTAGGCCCTCCATACACCTCTGACACATGGTTCTACTCCTTTTTCTGTCTCCTGCTATGTTTTAGTTACTATGATGCAACAGTAGTTTTCATCCTTATTGGGCACAGGTAACACCCAATCAAAATGAATGTAAAATTACAGAACACAACAAACTTTCACAAAAGCGGCCACTGAATAGTTCACATGTGCAAGAAATGTGACAAGCAATCTGACTCTGGCTGGTACGAAAACCTGCCAGCCAATCTCAAGGCTTGTATTATCAGGCTGATGGATTGGCCCAGCCATCTTTTTGGTCATTTTACTGTTTGGCCAACAGATCGGCCAAATCGTCTCAAAAGGGTTTTTAAAACAGAAGAAGAAAAAAAGGGTGGAGGAAGGAAAAATTTATACATAACATTCAGCTTTAATTAAATGATGACTAAAAAAAAAAGGTTTTTAAATATATATAAACATTATACAAGTATATGTAGATATGTGTATGAGTTCTTATATGTGTTAATTCATAGTGTACAACATCGCTATTCACAGGAGACCCATGGGTCGAATCTAGCCAAAGGTGGCCAGTGGATCATTGCCAGCACAGTGATCTTTCCATGCTGATCCTTGTGCCTCTGGTCCGTGACAATGCCCATTTTCAACAGTTTGGCCCCTGAGTAAACTTACGTTGAACAGCATTGGTGTATACGGACACTGATGTTTTGATGTTATAGAAAAACAACAAGTTGAGTTGAGTTGAGCCAAGAATCATCACAGCATTCGGGGCATTCCCACGTGTGCTCTGTCCCAATCTTCAGCAGCCAGCACAGAGTTTCAATACTGATGGTACCAGTCACAATCTGGTTATATGTCCGGCTTGCCTTTCCTATGAGTGTAGTGAGCCGGCCAGACCCTCTGGTTACAATCAGCAACGGATAACAGCAATGCAAAACTGCATAAGGAACAAACTCAACCAGCGACAATGTTTCTCTTTATTTTTGTTTTTCTTTCTGCACTATAGTAACTAATAGTTCAATTTCTATATTCTTGTGTATGTCCTCTTGTCTTTTACTTATTTTTTATGTAGTTTGGTTAACTATAGTTTTAGATATGTATACTGGCTAGGGTGTCCTCTTCTATCTATCTACTTCTCTTCTGTACTGCAGTTAAATCTAGCTTTAGATTTTTATGTTTTTCAAGTGAGTCCTCTTGTCCCTACTTCTTTCATCTGCATCTATAAGTGCAAATGGTACATGACAATGTTTATCATACTTCTGAATTTATGAATGCAACTCGGTACATTACAACTTGTTTAATGTACAATTACTGTTAACCCACCTTGCAGATTTCACAAATCTCCTTCCACTGCTCCTGTGTTAGGTCGACACCGGTTGGGTTGTGGGCTACGGCATGTAGTATTATGACAGAGTTTGGTGGGGCACTCTGAAACAATATTAGTAGATAGAATTTTAAACTATTAAGCAGTAATCTAAGAAAGAGCATGCTAAAACATTAGCAGATAGCATTTTTAACCAATCAGCAAGTATTTCAGATGGACATTCTGAAACAGTATAGTATTTTAAATTAAAATAATCTAAAAGAAAATAATTCCAAGAACCATACATTTTATTACAGTTCTTTCCAATTAATTACAACATTTTGGGCACATTAAAAGACCAAAGTCTCTTACAACAGAAAACAAACCCAATCAGCACAAAGACACATCTCATAACAGAATTCATTCCAATCTCAGGCTACCAGGGCCAGACATGGTCACAAACAACAATTCAGAAAAGCAAATTAGTACCCATGGAAATGAAGTGTCTAAGAAGGGCTGCAGGAATGACCCAAAAGAGATAAAATCAGGAATGAGGTCATAACAGAACAAGTCACTACTGAATCAATTCTAAATTACATACAAAGGACAGGAAATCAAATGGTTTGCATGCTTAGAGAATGCCTTGTGGTGCTATACCATAAAAGGCATACATGGAAAGAGGAGAAGGACACAGAACATGAGGTAGACCAAAAGCAAGATAAAAAGATAACATCAGAAAAACTCTACAACTGCACAATGTGTCTATGGGGAGGTGGCCAGAAAAGCAATATGCAGAACCTTTCAACCCTCAACACCTGAAGTGGTAAAAGGGGAAGTGACGAAAAAGGAGAAGTTATTAAAAAAACCATACAGGAGGGGAAAGACGAAGGTAAGACAGCAAGAAGTAGACAACAATATAAATGGCAAGACAACATGAGGAGATGGATGAGCAGTTGAGAGTGTGTACTACCAGGACAGAGATTGTTGGAGAACCACTGCAGCCAGCCTTCAATGTGCAGACAGTCCAACATTTTAGAGGGTGATAAGACTAGGTTTCCCGGCTTTCTGATGCTTTTAACAACCCCAAAACAACTGGCCCTAACCCCAACCCACCTACGTCCCACGAAAGAGTGCAGCCTAGGTCCCACGACAGCATGCAGCCTGGGTCCCACGACTGCATGTAGCCTATCTACCACCCCCTGAAATATTAGACTGTCCCGTGACCTGTGGATTTTCCCTGTTTGGGGTAAGATTTTAAGAAAGCACCCTTGTTTATTAATGGCATTTAATACAGTGAAAGTATTTCTGTTTCCCAGAAATAATACAGTTTATGATCCAGGACACCTCATTTTCCTTTCTTATACACAACCAAAAGTGAGCCGCTATGGTCTAGCGGCTAGATGCTCGCCTGCGGACCGAAATGTCGCGAATTCGGTTCCTGACGGGGGTCAGACTTTTTTCAAAAATGAGCATGGCTCCCAGGCCAACCCATCCTTGAGAGGGTACCAGGCACAGTCCTGGGAAGTAAAGGCGGATGGCGTGATGCTGATCACATCACCCACCAAGTGCCGTTTGGTCTATAAAATATATGTCTAGCCCTATATACCCAATACGCCTGAAAGGCATGGAAAGGGTCCTTTACTTTACTTTTTATACACATCCAAAATGTATTATTTTCATTTACATGCAAGAGGTATGACCCAAAAAAGATAAAACTGAATACTGGTAGTTGTTTATAAGACAAAACTTTCATATCCTCCAAAGGACATCAAAAAATATTTGGATAAGTGTATCTACTAGTTTCAATTATTACATTGATAAAGGTGTCTGTGTTTTAACTCTTTGAGTCCCAGGGGGTTTAGCATCACAGGCCCAGGGGGTAGTAAAGATAGTAATAAAATAAGCGCATCATGCGTTCATTGGGCTTCTAGGTAGGAGCCTATGAACATATGATGTGTTCCTTGGGACTCAAAGAGTTAATAAATTTCAAGGGTTCTTCTCATGCCAGTGACCCTTCAGGCATTTAATGCAACACTCAAATCTTTACAGAACAATCACCATACAATGGGTGATGATGTCAACATCATGGCAGCCACCCTTCGCAGGACATTTCCAGGTACTCTCTTTAGGGTAGTGAGCATACTTTAGATCTTATCTCCAGGCTATGCTGGCGTAGTGGATAATGAACAGGCAGACATATTGGCTGTATCTGCACCACTGGGTGGTGGATTGATACATGACAAGGCAGATGTGGTCAAGTCACTTTGGGAACAAGCAATAGAATTAGTAGAGAAACAAGATTAGTATGGCCTGGAGAGAATGAGGCACCTGGGTGTAACCAGAGGGTCTGACCGGCTCAATACACTCAGAGGAAAGGCAAGACGGACATATAACCAGATTGGGACCGGTGGTACCATCAGTATTGGAGCTCTGCGCTGGCTGCTGAAGATGAGGACAGAGCACGCATGTGATGTCAATTCTTGACTCAACTCAGCTCTTTAGGGTGGGTTGGTCTGTCAGCCAAGATCAATTTTTTTTTAAAATGCATTCCAGGTTAGTTTCAAATATTTGGGGCTGACAGCCAAGCATCTAACTAATACACTACACTATGTATTTGTTACATAGAAATGCTACATAGAACCTGTTCTGCTGTATGGCAGCGAATCTTGGAATGTCACTGAACAAATTAGGAAGAATTTAGAAGCAACAGAGATATGGTTTCTGAGACAAATGTTACAAACACCTTGGACGGACAGAGTAACTAACAACGATTGCTTGAAAGAGACTATTGAAAGTAGATCTCTATATGCAACAATAAGAAAAAGGCAAACACTGTTCTTTGGTCACATAATGAGAAGAGAGACACTGTTGAACATTGAGACAACTGGAAAGATCAGTGGAAAAAGGGGTAGAGGTAGACCAAGAGAGATGATGCTGGATGGGCTAAAACAATGGCATGGAGGAATATCATCAAGAAAGCTGTTCCAGTCAACCAGAGATTGTGATCTGTGGTGGCGCATGAGCGCCTACGCCAGTTGGCAGGGCACATGATGATGATGATGTATTTGTTTCATTGTTAAAATAAACAAATAAAAATGTGCCTACAGTTTGTTGTTCGGGTTAGCGCTCCTGGAAACTCGAGATATGAAAACAGCCATAATTATTATATATTTAAAAAAAACTTGTGGCCAAGAGAAACCTGTGCACGCCAAACTGTATGTGTCGCTGAGTGAATTACAAAACACTACAGATATAGATAGTCTTTTTTAAAGCAAACAAAAGAAGTCATAATTATTATATTTCACTATTATTATATAAGCAAGAAATAAACTGGTAGAGCTTTGATAATTTAAAATTTGATGGGCCACACCCTCTTTCTCATTCCAAACATTTCCAGTTGACTATTTTTACCTCAATGTGTGTTGTTAATTTTTTTGCTTGTACACATGATTTGATATCTATTAAAATTTTAGATTTTTTTGTTTTTGTTTCGGGGTAAATTTGTCCTGATAACTATTTCCATTATTATCTGGCATGGTACACATAAACAAGTATCAGTCCACACTGCACAATACTGTTTAGTGGTGCCCAAATATAATTGCACTATACAGCTGAACAGGAGTTTCTGAGATTTCTACCTGTTTGATTCTCATCCTTGAGCTGTTAATTCTACAGACTCCAATCCTACAAATGGAAAACTAAATAAAACACACAAAAAATATACAAATAATAAATCAAACAATCTTGCAAGTTGCTGTACTTTTAGAAAATCACAAATTAGCTTAAATGACAAACAACATGACAAAATACAAACCAACAGATCTTCACACATGCCAGAGAAGTCTAGATCTTTCATTTCCTTATTCCAGTAACGATATTCTCTAAACTGAGTGAAACCAGCAGATTTGAATACTCCTCTGTGATTTTCTGTAAACAGTTCAGAATATTTTTGTTCTACAGATTTTCTTAAAGAAAGAGATGCAGCAACTCTTCCATTAAAAATTGCATTTACATAAGTAATTTATATTAGCCATTTTCTCCTCTAGAAGATTATTTTGTCACTTATTAAAAAGTAAAAGTAAAGATCCCTTTTTATGCCTTAGGGGCATCAGGCATATGGGAAGAGTACCCATAGTTTTTAGAGACCAATTGGCACTAAGTGGGTAATGTGGTCAGCCTTGTGCCGGCTGCCTTTATTTCCCCATGACATACATCCTTGTACCCATTTAAGGCTGGGTCAACCTGTGATGCCCCATACCATGATGAAAATTCACGCAACTAGTAGTGGGTATCGATCATGGTACGTGGGAATTACGAATTGGACTCGCAACGCCTAAGCCATGGACGCCGCTTGTCACTTAGTAAGTACCACTTATTTCATAACTCGCACACCTTGTGAAATCTACGCAAATGCAAAAATGGTTAGTTAAGCAAGTGATACAACTGTGAGTATCTTGGAATAGTCATAACATCAGATGCAAGATACTTTGCTAGATTAGAACAAGAATTGCCCTGGCAAAAGTGGTCTTTAACAAGATGCAACAGATACCAATAAAAAGCTGTCAATTGCAGTGGGGGGAACAAAACAGAGTTAAATTACAAAATAGAAGCTGTGTTGTCGTATGCATGTGAGACATGGACAATAAGCAAAGCTGAAAAATATCTTCTGACAGCAGAGATGTGGTTTTTGAGAAGAACTAAGAACAGGAAAAACAAACAAGGCTGTCCTGGAGACAGACGGACATTAGATGCAGACACTGAGTGTTTTCTGGACATGTTATGAGAAGGCATGGAGCTGAGAACTTGGTTACAACTGGTAAGTATGACAGAAAAAGAGCAAGGGGATGACAAAGAGATAAATACTGGATGCTTGGTGATGTGGGTGTTGTGATAAAAGATCATCGATCTGATTTATTTGTAATTCTGGTGATCGTATAAAAATATAAATGACTGCCTACACATGATAATAAAGATTAGTACCAGACCTTACTAGTTCGTAGTCTGCTGCTGCTACTCTTTTCATACTTTTATCTCCTAATGGAGCAAACTATAACTAAAGAAGAAGAATTTTCTCCTGTTTTCAAATACATCATACCTAAAACCTTTACAGACACTGTCAAAAGAGATAATGTGCAAAAAGACAGATAACATTTTCTGGAGTAAAGACTTGCTAGAGATAATTTAGCTAGCAAATTTTGAAAAGAGTAATTTGTCATATATTGCCAAAAGTTTTTCAAATATAAACTAAGGAACTCTTGAAGTTAAAAATGCATAAATATTGAAATATTTTGTGAGCCTGCGGAAAAGACTTTTCTTTTTAACGGTGGGGCCTGGTTGAGAGGAGAGGGGGTGGGGGTCAGTGGATCCAACATACAGACACATTCTCATAAACTATATTTATGCTGCGAGTAAGAGTTTTTTCATCTTTTCTGCTTATAGTCAGATCTATAGAGAGACATGATTGCCTATGCCGTCTGGCTAGGCACATAGATATGTTGTGAATGTCAAACAAAGTAACCAGTTTCTTTTATCTTAGCCATGTAATAACACATGATGACAGAAGTGAAACAGAAATGAAAAAGAGAACAGGAATGGCAAAAAACTGCAACAAGATGCAAATATTGTTGACAGCTACAGAGATAACTCACTGAAAATGACGAGTACTGTCAAAGTCAACAAATGCTCAATGAAGTCAGATGTGTCGGCTTAAAGGCGAAAATATAGCAGCTTTGCTGTAAAGAGGCACAGTGCAATTACATCATTTGAATGAAAAGAAGAAGAAGAAATGGAGAGAAGAGAACGCCATGGCGGGAGCATGCACAGCAGGAGCCTACCAATCCTCAGTAAGTGGTTCCCCTTCAACAATTCTTTTGGCCCATTTATGCCTTAGACACTCTCAAGGTAGGGGCGGGGAAGGGGGGTGCGGGCCGAACTTGGATCATGACTCCTGGGCCTCGGACATCTTTTGCTGCACTTATCGGACAAGATGTTAAGGTGACTGCAACAGGTACTGGTGATAAATCGTCGCTGTGGTAGCAAATTAAGCGCCTCCTCACCAAAGTGACAAATGGCAACCAGATCGCAGTATTTCAACAAGAGACTTGGCAGTTGGTAGTAGATCAGGCAAAACATAAATAAGGAACTGTCCTCAAGGGTCGCCGCATTAGAAAGGTTGACAGCCACTGCACTAGGAGCTCGGACCAATCTACCGAGGCCTATCCCCCACGTCGTTTTGTTATGACCACAGCCAGCTCAAAGCTCTCACTGCAGCTTTGCCCAGTTGCTTTAGCGCCCATTCAGGCTCATTTCCTCTCAAGCTCAGTTGCTTCGGTACATTGTATGTGGAGGTGTGGATTAGCCTTCTTGCACTTACCTCAACGGCAAAGAGTTTACTGAATACCCTTTATCGATCCTCAGACTGGCAACCAGATCGCTGTACTTCTCAAGTTTGTACAGGTGTTGGCCTTCAATTCGCGAGTCATACAGCACACTCAGCTCTATCAGGACGAGCTCGCACTCTGCCGCTGAGTGCAACACCATGACTGGCCTTAGACCGGTCTTTCGGATCAGTTTGGGGTATCTCTCAAAACCAGACAGGTCAACCGCCAGTCCCACAAACAGTCAAATATGACTAGAATGTATGCAACTCTGTTGAAAATACCTTTAGAAATCTGCTCAGAATTGAGAAAGCATATGGGAGGGATGTTAGGACTGGCCCTCATGTTGGCCTTATCCCGGCTTTGTCCACAATATTGATCAACTCTTTCAAGACCTTATTGTGGCGACTGTATCGTCCGTCACCTAGGCCTTCTGCACATGGACAATATGGGCTCGAGCGTCTGTTTTGCTCTGCATATTTCACCATTTGACCAGTTTAGCACCTGAGGGTAACACATCATATGCAGATCTAATGACAAAGCTCAGTCACAGTGGAGCCATTTGACAACTCTCACACCATGTGAGTTCTCGTGGCAAGGCACTTCTGAGGCTGAGCTCCTGACCTTGCTAAGACTGCTGGGCTGTTTTCTGGACCTCTAAGTCACTCTCGGTATCCCAGATGTGTTGTGTCACCATGTCTCTAGTTCTTTGGCTGAGGCCTTTGACAACCATGTGACCTATCCTTGCCCTAAGCCGCATCGGTGGGTTTATGTGTAACCCATGACTTCCTTCAATTTTAGTGGATTCTGAGCAGATCAAATTTCATCGTCCACCTTCCATTGTTATGTATACTCAACGCTTCTGTATGGTGCAGAAACCTAAAAAAAGGAACAAGCAATTAAAAACTCTGAGTCCTCAGATATGGATATACAGAAGATTAATTCACATTTGATGAAAATAAAAACAATCAAATACAGAGGTTTTGATCAGACTGAGAATGAAAGAGAGTTGTGAAGGAGATTAAAAAAGAGACAAGTGAAATGTTTCACCTATGTTAAAATACTTAAGTCTTTTAAAAACCACACTGGACAGGCAAGTTGAAGATAGGCAAACAAGAGGCAGACAATGTTATAAGTGGGAAAATAACATAAAGTGATAGATGAACAGCAGTCTGAGAGAGAGTAGATCCAGGTTGAAAGGCAGTACATATGGGAGATCAGATGCAGCCAATATTCACTGTGAAGATGGTACCTGAATGACTCACTGACTGTTGCCACACAAAGTAAACACTAACTGTCTCACTCACCCCATGTTGGATTAGATACATAAACAGTATCAAAATGTAAAATGTTCTTCAGAAAGGCAGCTGCAAGTCTCAGTGCCCCAGTGCCTCCAAGAGCCTGAAATCCTTCAACCTGAAACAGTGACACAACAATGAAAGAAATGAAGAATACACTATTTTGCAGACACACCAAACATAGTCAATTGCATGCAAGAAAAAAAATACCATCTTCCCATTTTGATACAAGAGAGCAAGGTAAAATTAGGTGCTTTATAATATCCTAACATCACAGGACAGTCCAACATTTTAGAGGGTGGTAAGAATGGGTTTCTCAGCTTTCTCATGCTTTTAACGACCCCAAAACATATAGAACCGGCCCTAACCCCAACCCACCTACATCCCATGAAAGAGTGCAGCCGATTTACCACCCTCTGAAATATTAGACTCCCATGACCTGTGGATTTTCCCTGTTTGGGATAAGGTATTAATAAAGAACCTAAACTTATTAGCACCTTTACATCTTTCCAAATGATAGTTCTATACTGTGTTAATAGGAAGGCATAGGAATCGGAGCCCATGGAGATAGTGAGTGTAACTAGCTTTACGACAAGCTATCCACAATCAGGTGAAACTACAGTCAAATTATTATTATTAGTATTAGTCAAATTTCTCTGGAATTCAATTTATCCACAATTAGGGCATGGCATTTCTAGACTACTACTGTTGCCATCACATGTATCTAATATGCTTCTTCTCAGGTGCTAAGCTCTTATCCTATTTTGTAATGGGGGATATTTTCACCCAGATTAGGAAGGTTGGGGGGAAGGCCTAAAGCTAACCCAAAACACCGAGATGTTCCAGATACTCGGATTAAACGAGGATCTTGAGGTAGGTGATGACCACTATTTATCACGGGTATCACGACGACGCGACCAAAGGTCGCCACGTGAAAGTAAAGGACCACCACGTGTTGCCACGTGAAACTAACCCGTGGTATAAGTCAGACTTGATTCTGATCAAGTTTAGTTTGTGTCGACCTGTTGGAGCGAAAGGATGTGCGACTGAGTGTAAGAATGTCAACGTAAGATTGCTTGTTGCGAAAGGAGACCCTGACGACAAAGTGTGAAGTCAAGATCAACCTGACGACAAAGTGTGAAGCCAAGACAACCAGGCCAGTCTGTGAAATGGCAAGAAGCTCAACCTGATTTATTGGAGCCGACTCTGGTCAGTAAATGCTTGAAGAACCTGCATGTTGAAGGCTGCGTGAATTCGTGTGCGAGAGCTGTGTATTAGGACAACAACTAGACATTGCTGTGAGTTATAACATTTCAATAAATCAATGCTTGTACGACTAACTTGGTGTCGGCTTGTACCAGTTGCGTTAACGTAGTGTGTGAGAAGAACGTTCACGACACACGCATATAAACACCACCTAGACAACGAGAGAATACAAACCCCACTTATTGCAATTGGGTGCTCGTCCGGGATTATCATCTCCTTTATCTCTATTTCCATCCTAATTTTCTTCCTCCATGCAGCATGGTTCACAGCATCTTGGTCCCAACAATTCACCATAATAACTGTTTCATTCATGTTCAACTTGCCACACCTTAAGTACTTATTAAGTTGAGCTGCATGCAAAATAAAATCTGGCAAGTTCGTGAGTATAAAAAGGATGGGACGGGGGAAAAAAGGCCTCTTAGCTTTCCGCCCTCGCCAGATGCACTAGGGACATCTCAACCCATCCATCGCCGTTGCACAGTCATTCATGACTGTTAACCCAACAGGGGTTGAAGCTGGTGAGTGGAGAGTGACGGATTGGCTCACTTCACGATTTGGGTATGTTGCAATAGTTCAGCAGTGTTAGATCTAAATTTCATCTAGTAGTTAAAATGTGGTAAGCCTAGATTTCAATGTGTATCCTCGTTTGGAGATTGTATTTCAGGCCACTGTAGGCGAACTTCTATTTTTGTTAGCTGAAGTGCTCAGCGCATGGTCTTTTTGAATACGATGTTGACTGTTAATGAATTAATATCTGTGAAGCACTTTAGTTTTGTGTTCAGGAAAATAAACAGATGTTCAGTGTTATGATTATAGTTCCATTTGTTTTGATTCTGAATAGGATTTGTAGTTAGTGTGCCTAGTGTTTTACTGTTACTGCTAATTAGACCATACAGATCATATACTGTCAGGGTTAAGACACAACTGGTCTTAGTCACCGCCTAATAAACTTTTTCTTGTTACTGAGGCAGTTTAGGTGTGGGTTGCGGCTTTTACTCACCACAACATTATTGAAGCTCTTATAGACTTGGAGTAGAGATAAGTTCAAGGAGTAAATTTGTATATTATCCTTTATATTATCTCCTCCCCTTTCTTTTATACAACATCCCTCTTTGGCTTTGTTTCTAATACACTTAAAAGATAGATAGTTTCATTATCTGCATACAGTGAAGTTGTCCTTTTTGCACAATTCAGTCAAAACATCCATTAAGGCATTTTAAAGACTATCACTGCTCATTTTCCTTCTCCTTCCCCCCCCCCCCCTCTTTTTTTTTTTTTTTAATCTGGTTGCCAATTAGAAAGAAAAAAAAATTAGGAAAAAACACAACAATAAAAACCACAACATAGTGTCTATAGTTCCCTGCATTATTTCCACACAACCATTGATATATCACTTTGATTTTAAGAGAGAAGTGAATATAATCAGTCCCCACTTTATGCCACATCTGTTAATTTGTTAGCCATATGCAATTCATTCCAACATGTGGTCCCCCTCTTCAGTAGTTAACGAAAGTTACAAGAATTTTTGGAAAGGGGGAAGCTTAAAGGCCAGGAAAGGACACTTGGGCAAATGCTGCCACTTTTGCTTTTGACGTCTATGAAGGGTTCCAGAACAGACAGGAAACTATGGCGGTAGGACTGGATCTCGAGGATGCTTATAACAGAGTGAGATACGAGATCTTAATGACTGCACTGAGGGAGAAGGAGGTCAATCCATGGCTGGTGAATTGGGTTGCAGCTGTCCTGTATTCACGTCGGATTGCTCTCCGACTGGGCTCATGGACTTCTGAACCATGCACTTTGGCCCCAGGACTGCCACAGGGATCCGCCATCTCGCCTGTGCTCTTCAACGTGTATAAGAGCAAGATTGCAAGCCTAGAAGCACCAGGAGTTGGAAGGATACTGACTTTTGCGGATGATATACTTGCATATAGGCAGGGGGAAGAGAGGGAACAAACAGCCCGGGAGCTACAAGCGACAGTAGACAAAGTGACTGAGTGGTGTACAGAAATGAAAGCTGTCGTCCACCCGGAAAAGGCGTCTGTTTTGTGGTGTTCTCTGGACAACAGAATCGTTAAAACTAATGTCCCAAGTCTCACGATAGATGGTAGAGACGCCAACAGAGAGAGCAAACTGAACTATCTGGGAATTACATTTGACAGGAGCCTGTCATTTAAGGACCATGTGGAGAGTGTTGTGACGAGATGCCAAAAAGGACTTAGTGCACTAAAGACTATGGCTGCAATTGACATAGAGCAGAGAATGCTTTTTACACTATATTAGCACCTGATCCTGTCAGTGATGGATTATGGTCTGGGACTGCTTACCGTCTCAAAGACTCAGATGGACAAACTACAGCGCATACAGAACGCGGCTATGCGGGTCATTCTGGGTTGCACCAGAGACACCCCAGTAGTGTGTATGCGATACATCCTTGGTTTGCCGACGGTTGCACGTAGGCACAAGGTGATGCAGGCCAAGTCATATCTCAGGGTAGCTGCAGACACAGACCACCCTCTGCATGAAGCTCTGGGTGCAGTTAAGAGTCAGCGGCTGATAAGAGGAAGGTCATTGATGGCTCAGGCAGAAGACACAATCAGACAGGTATGCGTCCTTGAGAACATTAGGAGAGGAGTGGGTCAAAGTGCCACCTGAGCAGTCAGACTTGTGTAGAGTCATAATCACGCTGAGCCGGGAATGCAGAGACTGGCCAGCAGGTGCCACAGAGGCGGAAATTCAGCAATTAATTCAAGATAATGCTCGCTCAGAGGATTTGATCATTTACACAGACGGTTCAGTGTCAAGAGGCTTGTTGTTGTTGTTGTTGTTATCGATCCAGCGGCGCATGAGCTTTCGCCCTTTGGCCCAATGCCATGTAGTGGAATTTGCATGTTTTCACAAGCTGTTCTTTTCCTCCGTACAAGGTGTTCCACTTGTCTGGTCTCGGAGGGAGTAGCGTTCTTCTTGTCTCACTGTCAAGAGGCAAAAGAAGTGCTTGGGTTTTTTTAGCAAAAGTTAATGGTCGACGTTTGGTGCAGCAGAGCCTAGCATACGATACCACAACATCCAGCTTAAGAATGGAGGTGGAGGCGGTCACTGCAACTTTCCGCTGACTAGAGAACACAACACACACACACATTGTAATTGTAACTGATTCAGAAAGCATGCTGAGGAAGATCAGAACAGGTATGCTTCGTGCAGAGTGGCATGCTACGCTGCGGAGGACACGAGTGAGGAGTATTGTCTGGATTTTTTCACCGGGTGACGCATGTGTGTTGGGAAATGAACAGGCGGACAGACTGGCTGGCTCTGCACAACTTGGTGGAATACTGCTACATGATAGGGCAGACGTGGTTAGTGCCTTGTGGGAGAGCGTGTACAATGCGGAGGAGCAGATGGATCACCACAGTTTGGTGAGATTGATGCAGTTGGGGGTGACGAGAGATTCTGGCAGAAGCTCAAGGCTCAGAGGAAAGGCAAGACGGACATTTAATCAGAAAGCTACTGGCACCATTAGTATCGGAACTCTTCACTGGCTGCTGAAGATGGGGACGGAGCGCTTATGGGAATGCCCTGAGTGCTGTGATGTCGGTTCTTGAATCAAATCAAATCAAAGATGTTGCACTGTGCGAAAAACTTAGGCCAGAACCATGGACAAGCAAGCCAGAGAAAGCAAATGTAGTCCTAAAGGTACCAGGAATCACTTCGAAAGATGCCCAGACGGAGACACAACAGAGAACCCTGGCTCTTGCTATGCTTGATGAGAGGTATCCAAACACCACTTGGACTCAGGTTTTCACCGACGGCTCTGCTACAGATGCAGTCAGAAAGGGGGGTTGTGGAATTTACATT